TGTAGAACGTCGGAACAAAATATTATAAAAAAAACCCGAAATTAAACGAGAATATACGGGTCAGGTAAAATTTTGCAAATATTATAAGTTAAAAAACCACGACATCAGTGAATGTCGTAGATTAAAAGTACAACACACGGGTAGCTGTCAGGAAGCTCGGAAAATTCGGGTGAAACTTCGCATACAATCGGAGAAATAAAAAATAACTTAAGAATAATAACATCGATTAACGCGGAACATATTGTATATAGGTCCGCGGAATTTACACTTAGCGAAGGTAAATTTTTAATAAATAGTGGTGTGGGCATGAACATAATAAAATTATCGGTTTTAAATGAACATTTAGTCGTAAATGAACTAGAAAAACGACACATAAAAGGTATATGTGCAGCTACTATTCTTACTATAGGTACCGTGTGCGTAGAAGTATTTATAAAAGACAAACATTTTAATATAAAATCTGAAATTTTACACGATAATTTTCCTATACCAGAAGCAGGTTTACTAGGTATTTCGTTTTAAGAAATAATAAAGCAATAGTGTTGGGAAATATCTAGATAAATTTATCTAGATAAAAGTTATTTATCTTTTATTTTATCTAGATAAATTTCAACTCTGTATATTTATCTTCATCTAGATAAAATTCTAGTTAAGCCCCCCATACACGGTCAGTCTTGAATGACAATCAACGCGATTGACAGTCAAGACTGATCCTGTATTTGCATGATTGAACATGATTGACAATCGATTTTCGTGACTGATGAAATTCAAACATGTTTGAATTTTGACCGTCAGTCACGTTGATTGTCAATCAAGACTGACCGTGTATGTCTATGAATGTAAAATATATCAGTCATCGAGTCGAATTCGAAAGTGTAGACGAGTCGTTTCTGTTTTGTATATTTCCCATCCTCGTAGTTTATAAAATAAAAATAACAATAAAATGGCTAATAAAATAAATAATGAAGATTTTTGGCGTGATTTTATACTTTTATACCGCAGTTTACCGGCTACTTGGAAGATAAAAAGTGACATGTACAAAGACAGAATTTTAAAACAAGAATGTTACATCAAATTAACAGAAAAACTAAAGGAAATTGATCCATCCGCTGATATTAATACTACTAAAAAAAAATTAACACTTTGAGATCTAATTATCGTCGTGAATTAAAGAAAGTGATAGCTAGTAAAAAATCAGGTGCAGGTACCGATGATATCTACTTGCCGTCAGTTTGGTATTTTGAAGAATTGGAATTTTTACGGGACAACGAGATTCAAATTAGTGGAACATCGACGATGGATGAAGACAGTGAAGAAACATTTTTGAATACGACAACGGCGACGCAGCAATCGCAAGACATAACATTGGAAAATACCGTACGTAATAATATAATATTTTATTTTTGGATATTAATTCCATAACTATATATTTATTAACAGGTTGAGCGCCATGTGGGGTCGTTAGACCCAACGAAACAATTGTTATTACATCGTACACTAATTTATATATGCTTGCTTAAAATTGTTTCAACAATACTAAAAAAATGAAGACTAATACACATTTTTATCAGATTACAACTTATTTTTTATTTTAAATGTAATTAATGTCAAATAAAAAAGTACAAGAAGGATCAATAAGCCCTACGTGGCGCTATAGACAAGTGTTGGGTCAATACACCCTACAAAATACATTTTTCTATATGTATATTATATATTTTTTAAATAATTAATGATACATTTTTAAATAGTTTTTAAATATAATAATAATTATGTATAAAATATTTTAAGAAAAAAAATTACAATATATTCTTATGTTTATTTATGAAACAATCCTTACACATCTGCAACTTGCACCCATTACATTTCGTGTAAACTTTTCTTGTTTTGTTTTGCGCTTCCTTTCTCCCTAAATTTTCTGATATCCGAGCATAGCATACTTTGCACATTCTTTTTGATTTTGTCGTAATTAATAAATGTTTTAAACCTGGTGAAATTGGTTGTGGTACACTTGGTTTGATTAGAAGTTGCTTAATTATGTCTTCTTTAAACATGTTAACTTGTATTGTTTTCCCAGTGACTGATTTGAACAGAGATAATGCATTTATCATAGAAGTTGATAAAAGTATGTCAAAGGCGACTTTTCTATACCACTTCACCGTTTTTTTTAAAGGCGTACTATATGATGACATTTGATCGGATCGATCAATATACGACTTCCCTGTATTATAATCTTCGACTGACAACGGTTTTTTTATCATTCGATTTCTTTTTTGTATTTCAATAAATTCGTCAGTATGTTTAGTAGAGATAATTAAAATATCACGTTTATCACGCCATTTCAAGACAACAATATTGTTGCTGCTTTGTTGCGCAATAAATTCACCTTTTTTTAATTTTTTACTAATAACTTCAGGAGGGTTATTTTTCCGGTTAGCCCTTAATGTACCAACTAAATGAGTATTTTTTTCATTTAAGTTTTCAGCCAATTTGACACTTGAATACCAATTATCTGTATATAATATACGTCCAAAATTAAGATATGGGTCTAATAATTTCATTACGATTTTATAAGATACATCTGTTTCACGAACTTCTCCTTTTCCAGCGTATACATTATACTGTAATGTATAATAATCTTTAGAACAAAGTTTGAATATTTTTATCCCATATCTATGTTTTTTATTCTTTAAATATTGGCGAAAAATAAGCCTTCCTATAAAAGGAACAACACTTTCATCTATGCAGACTTTTTCTTCTGGGATATACCACTTATTGAAATTGTGAACCAACAAATCTATTAGCATTTGAATTTTGTTTAGTCTACCATTCTGAGTATTTTCATTATTCCCACAGTGAAAAAATCCTAAAATTAATTCGAACCTGTTGCGACTCATAACTTCAGGTACTCTTGTAGAATAAAGAAAATCTTTTCGCCAATAATGTCTCAAAGAGGGCATTTTCACCAACCCCATCCACAAAATAAGTCCTAAAAAATTCCGCATTTCAGTACGATCGACATCAGACCACTTTCGTAAACGAGAAAATTGAGAAAGTATTTTCGCATTCAGTGTTTGGTGGGCATAACGATTAGTTTCTACAACCAAAAAATCTAATACCTCTTCATCAAAAAACAAGTGATAAAACTCCATGGGGGAACAGTCTGCCATTGTTTCGATCACATCAGAATTAATTCCTACTTCCAAATTTTCAGGATTATAAGCAATAGTATTTAAGTTACCAGTAACTGGACCCCAGGTAAGTCTAAGGTTAATTTCAGGTAAATCTTCATAACACTGTTCAGTTGACTGGTCATCGGTTTCTTCTAACTCATTTATATCATTAGGTTCGAAATCAGGGTCAGCATCAGTATCATCATAAATCTAAATAATTTAATACGAATATTAAATTAAAAGTTTTTACTTGCAAAACAAAACGATAGGTATAAAATGTTAATATTTATATTACCTCATCGCTAGTGTCTGATCCAAAATTATCTTCATCGCTGTTATTTAACCAATTAATAATATTTTCATCCATTTTTTTATAACAAGAGAAACACGTGAATGGCTGACTATTAAATATTACTATGGATTACTACAGACTACTAAATATGAAACATAACATCAGACTATATTTAATATACGAGTTTAAATCGATAACATAACTAGTACGATTGAAATAAATCGATAACATGTGAAAGAAAAGTAAACTATGAAAATAATGTAATAGGAAATTCCTGTGATAATCTATAAATATAAATTTAATTATTTCTCGTAAACGATTCAATATAATATCAAACCATTACAACACTTTGTTCTATAGGCCATGTAGGATAATAATCACATAGAAATATGTAGAAAATAAAGGTTCGTGAGGCCCTACGTGGCGTTAAAAACATGTATTAACTGTAGGGTTTAAAAATCCTACGTGGCCTTAAAGACATATTATACCGTAGGGTCGACCAACCCCACATGGCGTAATATATAAAAGAACTTTTTACATCTTGGCGCTCAACCTGTTAATATATATTTAACGGTCGATCGCGGACAATTACAAAGTCGATCATGTTAAAATTTATAGGGACACGTCTACGAATTGTTATCGAATTGTCGATAAGTTTTATATGTTTAATTTTAATGCCTAGATCAACAATATAATATGTTACTTAAACTTATCTAATTAGGTTTAGAAATTATTATTTATTATTATCTATATTATTTCGTTATTGAATTCGTAATTCAATAATTAACATACCAATCGTGAAAACTCAAAAATTAATTATGTTAGGAAAAATACATTAAACAACAAATTGTGAAAAATACAAGTGAAATTACTAAAGAGTGTTGTATATTTTTCATATTTTTGATTACAAAAACTTTTATAGTTAAAAATAATAATAATAATTACAAATTAAGTTCATAAATTAATATTATTTTCGAATAAATTGTCTTGCCAATGGACTGCTCCGGCGTTATTGAAATATGAACAAAAATTGTCTCGTACTTCTTTGGTTGTTGAGCTTGAATTTCTTCCTTGATAAGGTTGTATCTGAACTAATTGGCTATTACTTTTCCAACTTCCCGGTTCCACTTCTCCCGTTGAAATATTTTCAATATCCAAAGTTTCCTCCAAAAATATTTCCATTTTATGTTTTCGTAAAAAGTTGTGTAAATGGGTAAATGGCAGCAGGCACGAACGATTATAGTGGTTTTTTCTGGACATAAATTAATTGTTTTCAAAAGTATACGAAATCGTGATGCTAAAATACCAAATGTATTCTCAATTATTCTACGAGCCCTCGACAATCTATAGTTAAATATACGTTTCTCTTTACTTAAATTTCTTTGCGGATAGGGTTTCATAAGATTATTTGAAAGTGGAAAAGCACCATCCGCTACAAATACGTATGGGAATTTTTCATTTATTCCTGGTAAGTAATCCGGTTCCGGAATATTTAATTTTTTTTCAAGAAAATTCTTATAAAATATGCCTGCGTCTGAAACTCGTCAGTTTGCACCAATATCCACCATAATAAATTCATAGTTACTATTTGCAATGGCCATCAAAACTATGCTGAACGTATGTTTGTAATTAAAAATATATGAGCCAGATTCTTGAGGTTTTATTATTTCTATATGTTTGCCATCGATCGCCCCCAAACAATGATGAAAATTCCATTTTGACCCGAAGTCTTCAGAAATTATTTTCCATTCCTCTTCTGAAGCAGGTATCTAATAAAATATAATACAATAATTAGTAATGGATTGCAGTTTTATGTTTATTTATAGGTTATAAAAACTCCGACTCCAGACCAACCACCCAAAAAAAAAAAGGAAAATTCTGAAGAAAAAAGAAAAAATGATTTGCTAGAATTAGCATGCGAGCGCCTACAACGAACTTCATCTGATGCCGACATTTTAGCAAAGAGTTGGGCAATTGAGTTACAAAAACTTGATACAGAACAACAACTGTTTGCTCAAAAGGCTATATCCGATATCCTTTTTGAAGGTCGCTTAAAAACGCTCCATCGTAATTCTGTGAAAATCAATCATTCATGTGTGTGTTTGCGTTCTTCAACTCCATCAACGTTTGTTTCAACTACGCCTGTTTATATGTCTGAAGGTACCAATTCTTCACTATCCAACCATACACAACAAACATGGGAGATTCCAATTGCATCAAACCCAACAACGTACAGTAATTTGGCTGAATTTTTTTCCGACACTCAATATTCAAATTAAGATGTAAAGATTAACAAAATAACTTAAAATGTAATAACTGCTATCAAAAGAGTAAAAATGTATTATTCTTGTAATACTATTTAAATAAATAAATAAAAAATCCGGTATACTCAAAACCTTGTAAAATGTTTAATTCTTTATGCCTTTAAAATTTGATTGCACCAACATATTCACAACATCATATACTAGATGTGTAGAAAGTTTCATATAAATAGGCTGCACCAATTATTTTATACAAGTGTAATTTGTTGTAAAAATAGGAAATTTCGGAAAAACGCAAACTTTAAACGCTTGTAAAAAAAAAATATGAATAACGATTTTTGATATTTTTTCATCATCGGTGTAATACTTATGAGTATTATTGTATTAAATGTTTAGCTCTAATTATCCAAAGGTTAAAATTTACTTACCTTTATATTATCTTTTAGTGCAGTTGTTATAGCTTCACATGTTTCAATTATAATTTTTCCAATCGTTTGTGGAGCGATTGCGGTCATGAATTTAAGCTCTTCGAAATTAGCGCCGGTCACCAGATACCGTAGCGTACACGATAAACGTTGGGCCGATGAAATTGGTTCTGTCATACCAGTATCCTGTTTCTCTATCATTGGTGTAACCATCTTTAATAAATTTGAAAATGTTAAGTGGTCCATGTGAAGATAGTTTTTATAATCAGATGGAGAAGATAACATTAGTTCGTTGAGAAGATTATGATGGGTGAATGTGTTCTTTTTTTTGAACCATTCCTTCATCCAAAATCTTTTTTTCCTATTCTTCGTCTTATTCATCCATTGTGCACTTAAATATTTTGTATTGAAATTTGAAACGAATTTAAATTTTAAATTTTAATTTAAACGAACAACTACTGTATGATACTAAACACACGATACACCATACTTTCAATACCTTGCAAAACAAAATGAGTGAATGACTGTAGATTGTCATTCTTGATTGATTGTGTATGGAAGTTATCAGTCGTCAGTCAATGATTCGTCTTAACTGTCAATCACGTTGATTGTCATTCAAGACTGGCCATGTATGGGGGGCTTTATCTAGATAACATAATATCTAGATAATTTATATTAATGGACTTAAAAAATTTGAATAAATCTGAAAATTAAAAATATTTATATTTACGTTATTTTCTGTATACCGTTAACTTATTACACAGAAAACAAACGTTTGGTAAAATATATTATACCATGTATTTCAATATTGAATGTTAATTTATAAGTCTGGCATCGTAAATAACGAAAAGACCTAAAAATAGAAAATAAAGAATAATATGTAATGTTACCTATGTTGTAACTATATTATACTAAGAGCAACTAATAATAGCAAAAGCGATAACATCTATCCTTACTACCCGCCAATCAGCATCCTAGACGATGGTGGATGGTCTTCATTAGCCGTTTCATAGAACTGTGTATAAAGTATAAACAAATAATTATTATTATTTCTTATTGTGTTGAACCGACAAAAATAAATCAACATTCATGGATTGTGTAACATAATAATATACTATTATTTATACATATATATATTTATTGTTTAATGATAGCAATTTTATACTTTTATATAAATGTATAAATAAAATATTATTAATAATTTATATTAATCCCACTATTCGTAAGTCGCTGCTGGACGTTCTCAGTTATCAGATGTCCTCAGTTCCTCTGTCCTCACTGTTCACAATACTCAGTAATTCTTGGTTGATGAAATTTTAGTGCAACTGTAATATAGTTTATACTTTTACGATTTTATTATTTTTTTATTTCGTTTGTTTTAATAATTATGAAACGGTTTGTGCAAGTTTTAAATGTCCCATCTAAAATTAAAAAATAGATGATTCAAGGTGTATTCAAACAATTGAAACAATTGAATCTACTGATCATCTGATAAATACTTCAAAATTGAAGTATTTATTTAATGAATTTTATAAAATAATATCCTTAGAAGGAAATAAATTATCTGCATCATGTCAAAATTGTAAATGGGAGTATTAATTCAAGTGGCAATTTCCTTAGCCATTACAAGGTATGTATATGATCTATTTAATTTTAAAAACCTAATTATAACTAATAATTATAAATAAAATTTACTTACGATATTAATATTTTATTAACTATTTTAGTATAAGCATGCTTCAATAATGTCAAAAGTTGAGGAATCTACAAAAAATAATCTTATGGATAAAGATAAATAATACACCAATACCAAGCAAACTAAATTATTTGATATACATCCAAAGGAAATTTCAAAGCAAAAGGTAATTATAATATAATATTAATAATAAAAAGAGTTCTATTAGATAAGTAGGCAACTATATTAACCATTTCAGTCCATATTTTTGGAAAATAGTTATAAGGTATATTATTATTCATATGTACCTATTACAGATTATAAAAAATTATATTAATGTTGTTTAACTTTAGCTTTAACTAAATTTAATAATAATAGTCTTTACATTTTTTTGAATTAATTTGATTTGAATTGTACAATTTGTATTAACAGATAAATGAATTGGTTTTTGAGTATATTGTAAGTGAGATGCGTCCACTTGTAACCTGTGAAAAACCAAGTTTTCGTAAATTAATTCTGGGACTCACTCAATCAAATGATGAAACAATTTTGCCAAATAGAAAGCAAATATCAAAACAGCTAACAACAAATTACAATGCATATGTATTAATGCTAACTAATGTGATTGAAAAACAAAATTATATCTGCACAACAGCTGATATTTGGAGTGGGAATAACAAAAGTTACATGGGTATGTATGATATTTGTATTAGTTTTGCAATATGCAGTCAAACCTTTATTTAACAAACTTGAAGTTTCCTTCAAAAAAATATGTTATTTATAAATTTTCTCATGTAAATAAATTGATTATCTCTAACTTGAAAATACATTTTTTTTAAATTAATGTTAATAATAATAAAAATAGGAATAATGTTGTATAATAATTAATAACATTTATTAAAATTACTAAAATTATCAAAATTATATTAGTTTGTTAAATAGATTTATAGAAACATTTCATGGATCCATAAAATTGGTTATTGAAATATAAAAATAATCAATTAGTTAGTTTCGTTAAATAAAGTTTCTACTCTCATTTGATTAGTATATACTTAATGTCTACCTAATATATTATTAATTTATTAAGTCCACTATATTTTTTAAAATAATTATGATTTATGATGAGTAATTTTTCATGAAATTTTCTGATATCTATCAAATTTTAATAATGATATTTTAAACTACAATTTAAATCAGGTCAGATTCAGATTTATTTGATGGATGGGGCAAATATCAATCATATATTTTAAAAAAATAAAATATAGGTGTTTGTTTGTGTATTAAAAAATAACTTATACAGTTATTTTAAATACAACATTGTAATCAATTAATAAATACCAAACAGTAAAGTTATAACAAATACTGATATCAAATATTAAAATAAATAAAAAACATACTTAATCTTAAGTTGATTATAACCTATGGAGTGGGTGCTTGTTTCCTTCGCCCAAAACTGTTCCACTACGACTTAAACCTATTTAGTGAGAAATGAAAAGCTGTAATTAATGTTTTTATTTTTATTTTTAGGAATGACTTGTCATTTTATTGATTCTGAGTCATATCTGCGTAAATTATATGTCTTAGGCTGCAAACGAATCAAAGGAAGTCACAATTACCTAAATATCGCTGAAGTCATGACAGAAATTACACAAAATTACAGAATCCATTATTCTAAAATTACACATATAGTGACAGATAACGCTAGAAACTTTGACAAGTCTTTTAGAACATTTTCAATTGGCTCATCATTTCAGTCAACTTCAGAAATTGGTGACTTAAATGAAAATAATTCAGGTTCTGATAATTCAGATTTAGAAATAGATAGTATAGAAATAATGGATGTAGATAAACTTTTTATTAATTTAGAGAAAGAGCAACATTATTTGCAGAATACAGATGATTCTTTTTGTTTACCAAATCATTTAAAATGTTGTGCACATACATTAAATTTAATTTCAACCGTAGACATTGCTAAAATCACAGATACTAACTATTTATGTGTTTTTGAATCAACTTTTAAAAAATTGTATAGTTTTTGGAATTTAATCAGCAGAAGCACCGTTGCTTCAGACAAAGTACTCGAAATTTGTGGTTGTAAATTTCCGGTACCTGTAATAACGCGCTGGAATTCATTGTATGATGCATCACTAAAAATCTTAAAATACAAATCAAAAATAATTAATTTATTTGATGATTTACATTTAACCAAACTAAAATTAAATGAATGGGTATTTTTAGAAGAATATATCAAAACCATGGAACCCTTAGCTATATCATTGGACAAATTACAGGGTGAAAATAGAAGTTTTTTAGGCTATGTAGCACCAACTATTCTTGTGCTAAGGAGATTATTAATAGCATCTACTAATCTGAAATATTGTAAGCCATTAAGTCTTATAATTATAAAATCCATAGAAACTAGATTTAGTTATTTATTCAATTTGAGTAGTCCAGAAAGTAAAATATTCATTATTTCTTCCATAAGCCATTCCAAATTTAAACTCAGTTGGGTACCAGTAAGATTTATGAATATTTATAAAACCTTATTTTTAAACGAGTGCAGTGTGGTGGCTGCAACTTCCGAAAATTTTATGAACTCAGTTATTGAAAATGAAGAAATAGATTCTGATACTAGTGATAATGAATTTTATAGCAATATCTGTTCAACTTCAACAAATAACACTAGTATTAATAACACGGATTCAGAAACAAAAACATCAAATTATGCCAATTTACAAGGAATTTCTTTCTTAAGCTCAAATAAAAAAGACATAGATATTTTAAACCAATACCCTATTATTAAAGAAGTATTCCTCAAATATAACACTACAATTCCCTCCTCGGCACCAGTTGAGAGGTTATTTAGTAAGGTAATACAAGTTTTAATACCTAGGCGTAATAGGTTAAATTATAAAACGTTTGATATGATTTTATGCTGTAGATCAAATATAGTTTGAACTAGGTATATTATTTTAAAAGCATTTATTGTTTTTCTTTTCAAATGTTAATTTTTTTATATTATTATTATTTATTTATCAAGTCAGAGAATGACTTTTATAATATATTATGAAGTTTATATAAAAAATAAACTACATTAAAACCTCTTTATAACGGACCCTCTGTTAGACGTAATCCTCCTTATAACGGAAAATGTCAATAGTCCCGGTTCAAATAATATATAAAATTGAACTCTTTAAAAGACGGAACCTCTACAAAACGGAAAATAGAATTATTTAAAGATAAACTACATACACTTACATAAGTATAAACTATATGTATGTATATAATATATATGTTTGGTAACTAGATAATCTAAACTTTATCTGTCATTATCTGAAATATCATTCGACGGTATCGTTTCACGATTGTCATACTATTGTTTATTATTAAAGATTAGATATGTACGTATGTACATACCTTTAATGTATGAACTGCCCAGTTGTCTTTTTTCTGTTGAATTGTTCATATCGTTTAGTAAACGTGCAGTGCTCACCGTCTGTTTTATCGTTGTGATTTGGTTTGTTTTCGTACTGTTTTTAGTTTTTACTCGCTAATATACCACGTACAGCTCTGACTTTGTCAGATAAAGTTAAACTAATCGAGTTGAAGGAGACACAAAAACTAAGTACGAAGGAACTTGTTACTAGATTTAAATGTGGAAAACTCAAGTTTACGACGCGATAAAAAATAAAGAAAAGATTATGGATGAATGGGTAAATAGCAAAAACTTGGGAAAGAGTAAAAGAGTGAAAACTCCCTCATTTGAACAAATTGATCAAAAGTTGTATGAGTGGTTTGTCAGCGTTTAGTCAAAAAATTTGCCAATTTCCGGTCCAATTATACAAACAGAAGCTATGAAATTGGCTGAAAAAATGAATGTCAAAGATTTCAAGGCTTCGAACGGTTGGCTAGAAACCACGGTGTTTTAAGAACATAGACATTTCTTCGTTACCTGTCATATGGAAATTTAATAAAAAAGCCTGGATGACAACAGAGATAATGGAGCAGTGGTTACGTTATTTTAACGCAGATATGCGATCTCAGAATAGAAACGTCCTAATATTCTTAGATAATGCTGAATGTCACCCAAAGATCAAACTATCTAATACGAAAATACTTATGTTGCCCCCAAATACCACATCGATCACCCAACCAATGGATCAAGGAGTGATTTACACGTTCAAGTCTTACTATCGTAAGTTTTTGCTACAATCGTTATTATGCAAGATGGATAATTGTTCTTCAGCTCATCAGATCGCTAAATCAATAAGTGTTTTGGATGCAGTCAATTGGATAGCATTGGCTTGCGATAATGTAAAAGCTGAATGTGTACAAAATTGTTTTCATAAAGCCGGGTTTCTTTCAAATGAAGGAACCAATACCAATGGTATAGATTTACCAGAAAATGATTTGAACGATATTAATGAGGAATGCGTTATAGCCAATGTCGATGTAGAAGATTTTATTACATTTGACAGTAAATTAGAGACGCACCAAACTCACGATTCGGCGATTTTTTTAAAAGAAGAAGAAAAAGAAGTACTTAATAAGAAAGAACTTACAACAAAAGCCCGAGAATGTGCTGAATGTGCTGCTCTTAAACACAAAAAGCAATCAAATATTAAAAACTATTTTTTTTAATTATAAAAAAGGTACAAACATTACTTTCATTTTTTTTTAGTATTATACACAAAACAAATTTAAATATTATGTCATATATGTATAATAATCTTATTGTATAAGTTAACGTTTTACGAGGTATTTACCTAAAATATAATTTTTTTAATACATACGTACACATACATAAATTCTTGAAACATTTTTTTTTACCTCTCTAAGACGGAAAACTCTTTATAACGGAAAAATTGTTGGTCCCAAGCGATTCCGTTATAGAGAGGTTTTACTGTATTTTATTTTGTTTATTTTCAAAATGTTTTAAATAAGTTGAAACAAAAATATATACATTTAATATTTTTTTTTTCAAATATTAGCTTTTTTGTATTATTATTCATTATTCATTAAGTCAGATAATGATATATGTTCTTATGAAATTTATTTAAAAAATAAACTATTTTATTTTATGTTTATTTTTAAAGTATTTTTATAATTAGGTATGTATATTTTTTAATTAATACCTGTCACTAAATATTTGCAAAATTAAACATGAAATTATCTGATATTTATCTAGATAAAAATGTATTAATTTGTATCTTTATCTAGATAAATTTTAGTATAACTATCTTTATCTTTATCTAGATAAATTATTAGTTATCTATTCCCAACACTGTAAAGCAATAACAGACTGTGATAAGGGGGTTTTAATTATTGCCGACCAGTTGTAGAAAACAAAGTAGAATCTATTATAATACTGACACGTAGTAACTGCGTGTTACAGGTCAAAGTCGATGTACAGATTAATTCGGATGTAATATCTATAAAGAAACATGCTTTAAATGAAAACGTAATAATCGCGAATAGTTTAAGTCCGATAGCAAATGATAAAATTATCGGTAACATAATTAATATATCAGAACAATCATTTGTTATTGATTAATTAACATCTAGTCATTTAACATGACGCCACACGGGGAAACGAAACCGAGCAATGACCAAGAGAATGTGCTGTTAGGTATTTTCGCGATCCGCAAGCACGCGACGTTCAAGCCGCACCCCATACTCACAACCGTGGACTGACCAACGAGTATTCACTATTCGTTCGGGAGCGTTGTTTATTATTTTATGAACGTTCGTCCGTGACTTTTCGTGTCAAAATAAAATTCATACGCGTAGGTGCTTTACCACCAAAATATTTTAAATATTCGCGCTTATTCACAAACTGTCTTTTAATTAAAGACACTGTCTATCTAATTGTATACCTATTTGTATACAACAATATTATGTAGGCTAAAAAATCTAGTTTCTACCGTACCTTTAACTGTTGTAAAAACATTTAATTCGAGTTAACAATATTTTACCTACAATAACTTACGATTTACATTTAGTTTGTAAAAATTACCAATATATCAATATTTTCGAATGTATTACCACAGTACCGTTGATTATAAATCATAATTTATAATAAATATTATTTATATTATTCAATGAAAATATAACATTAATTAATAATATTAATAAACATTTTTATTAGCAATAGACAAACTACTTGAACAAACATCGATTTATACTTATTGAGTTGCAATCGAAGATAGTAAAAATAAAAAAAAACATTAAGCTTGTCTAGATTGTATATAAAATTTACTTTTAAATTTTTTTTTTATGATCATTTTTTTTTTTTATGTGGTCTGGTTCTTGAATATCTGATTTCAACATTCTTTTAGGGAATTGTGGATCAATAATTTCGGGTAAAAAAGACGTCATATAAAACCTGTTGATAAAATAGATAAAATAAATAAATCATGATTCATTAGTTATCTTAAATTCGTGTGAAAGATTATCGAATTACTCGGAGTGTATACAATTGTGGTAAATGATTTAATAATATTTAAAAAAAAAGATTCACGTTTGTAACGGTTCAGTCATTTTGGTATCCCAAAAAGATTGATCAAAGTATATTTCCTCCTCTATATTGATCCATTTAGCAGTGTATATCACAAAAAAGCAATTTTTTCTTTTAGATGCGTGTAATTGTCCCATTATTTGGTAGTAATATGCGTGATATTTTTTCAATTTAATTTTTTGCTCTTCAACTTTGCAATATTGTAGCTAAAAATAAAATAAAAATAAAAATTATGTTCATACTTACATAACATAATGTTACGAAGGCTAAAACTCTTCAAATCTAACGATATTTAACTGTAGGTTTTATTAACTTAATAAAACTAAATACAAATTTAAGGTACTAAATATTTTCCTGTCAATATTTTGTTGGCACATACCCCTCCCTTTAAATAATAATTAAGCATAATTCAACACTTACAAGTTTACTGTTCACTGCTTCTATGGCATTGTTTGAATCACGAGCAGAATATGGACATTTTATTTCCAATAAATTATGTTCACCAATAAGGCCATCTATAAAATAAGTTGAATATTACAAAAAATGTATCAACAGCCTACCTATGCTGGAGGTTATTCATTTATTATTCAGATTTATATATTTATAATATTTTAGACTTAATTTTTATAGGTATATTTTTAACTTATGATTTTATTTTTATTATTTTTAACATATAAATTATATTAATTTAAGTAATATTTTAGTAGTAAAAAAATAATAACGTTCAGCTGTTACCTGGGCTAGCAGCTAGAAATGGAAATTCTAGATCTATAACCAAGCCATTCTTAAAAACGTTTTCTTTTGTTGATTCTTCAAATTTTTGACGAGCTTAAGTCTCCATTTCTCTACCACACTGTACCGATTTTGTTTGTGATTGTCAGAAGCATATAAAATATTATGAACTATATTTTTGCAGCTAGTGTTTGTCCGCATTTTACAAATTTGTCCAAACCTTGAAGTTGTTAGTCGTATTTTACGTTCATTGTACCACATTTCACTGTTGCTTTGTTCTCGAGTTTCAAATTCAATTTTTTTTTTTACATTAGCTTGATCTAAATCTTCTAAAAATTTAATTTTTTTGTTTTCAATTTCTTCCGATGAAAAAAGTTCTATTAGAGGTTCTGCCAGTCCATAATCTTCGTCTTCTCCTTCCGTTTTAGATTTTTTAGTTTTTCTTTTTTCCGGAAATAATTATTTTCTTTTACTGGTATTAAGCCATATTCATTTACTGTTTTTCAAAAACTTTTTTCCAAATATTCTTGTAACAAAACAATTGTGTAGCTAACCTATTAATTATTAAAGTTATTATTTTATTAAATGTAAATATGCATTTTACCTGGACTGCATTTAGTAGATGTTTTATGAATTTGTCTAAAATATTGTCTGGAATTAAATGACACAACTGCAGCTTCTGCAGTACTCTTGTATTATAATTACCTCTACTACTTAAATTTAATCGTTTTCCGACAACGTGTTTATTAATAACAGAATTAAACTGTTCACAGACATTAGAAGTCTAACAATGTTAACTATTTCCCTCATCATTCCACTAATTTCCGCTTCTGGGATTAAATTAAATTGAGTTTGGTTTGATCAATTACAAAAATATGAGCTACAATTTGAATGCTGACCAAGTCTGTGATATGGTGCATTGATTAAATCACTTCTAAGACCTAAAATGATATGTATTTTAATTTTTTTATGTGATAAAAAAGAAATATGGGTAAATAATTGACCAACAATAGTAAAAAATAATATACTCTATATGATATTACAACATACAAATTTTAAAATAAATTATTATCCTACTCCAACCAAAGTCTAAAATAATAAATAAGACATAGGTATTATAGGTACCTTTAATATTTTGTGATTTGGTAATATTGGTTTCTTTTCTCAAATGTAAAGCTGCCATCTGAACATCACTTCTAAATTTCTTAATGTTTGACAATATAAATTTTCGTACGCGAAAAGTGTAATTCGAATTTCTTGCCAGTGCTGTTAGTTTCGAAGCATAATTCCTCATAAGATGGTTTTTACACTCAATTTTTTTTATAGTAAAATTAAAGCCATATGGTCGATTTTCAACTAACCGCTTAGTGACGCTGCTATTTCCATCCCTTTAATATGAAAATATTATTTATTATTGTAAATATTATTACAGTGGATTCCGCTTAATGTGGCCACCGGTTAATATGGGCATCTGCTTATTGTGGGCAAACATGTCTGGTCCCAATACAAATGTATATTAACAATGTTAAATAAAACCGCGTAATATAGACATTCGATTCGGTTTATGTGGGCAATTTTTTTTATCATAGCGTTAAAATATACTCATAAGTATTTAAAAACGACTAATTTAATCGGGTTTCGTCGTATCTATGAGTTTATCGAAAGTAATAAAAATCATTACCGTTCAAATAAACAAATTTCGCCAAAGAGAGGCGAAAAAGTGTATTGATTTCTTGCAGAAGTTCTTCATGTAAGAGGGAAACGAAAATAGTCCGTCTGATAAACTTGAAGCGTGTGCCCATTTTGTCAACCAAATCCATACTAAATAGCTTAGACAACGAAAAATTACAACGTTTTGTATACCTTCTACATCCAAAGATTAATTTTACTTAATATATTATATGTATTTAGTTTTATTTATATACCTAGTAATTATTTCAAAAAAATTTCAATTATATGATAATATAAATATAATTTTTTATTATAATTTTTTTTTTTTTTACTAATTTCGGTTTTTATGAGCAACCGCTTAATGTTGTGGGCAAACAGGGCTGGTCCCAACGTACCCACATTAAGCGGAATCCTCTGTATTATTATTATTATTATCATTATTATAATAAGCACATGCAGTTTTTTTATAGACAATAATTTTGTTCAAATTCAACAAATTTGGACGGATCGTCTTCGCTCAGAATCGCTTAGAATATAATAATATCTTTGAATTCAAATTTAACTCATAATTTACCAATCAAACAGTTATATTTAAGACCATGCATTTCAACGCTGTTGAAAAATCCTTCTAGCACACCATCTGCTTCCATGCAAGTTGAAGCCTATTTCCAGTTGAGCAAACATGTATGTACAGGTTTTTCTTGGTCCTTCATACTTGAAGACCTTTGACAAATTATGCAATATTTATTTCCAATCCCGACAAATAACACTTTTTGGGTTCTATAACCAATTATTGATACCTGTAAAAAATATATAATATAATAGATTAAATAAATTAATATTGTATAAATACTAAATACTGAATAGGTATATTGAATGAACTCAAAATCTTTGTAAAATATACTCAAATAATAAGTAGGTACTTGGTTTTATAGCTTCGCTTGGACCACTCCCCGTCCGCGACCACTGTAATAATTGGTGTGCCATCCACATCGAAGCTACCAGATTCTATTGCTATACTCCTTTCTTCTTCACCGGCTTTTTTCATTTCGTTCCAAGCTGTAACGTGAACTATTTCAGCTACCTCGGTTTGAACACGTAAAAAACCAGTACTTTATAATGCAGGCAAATCGAGAAATCCTGATAGTTCTGCTAACTGTGTATGTCCAATACCTATAGTTTGGCAAGCATTCACCACTGCCTTATTAATATATATTTCTGAATGATGAATATATTCCGAATGTAGTTTAGTTTAACCTAACCTAATCTTACACATAGTACACTTAAAAGTAAAAACTGATAGAAATCCATAGTTCACTTCTGATTTATATCCCATATCAATAAACGAACAACCATAAGGTCCACTATGCTGTTTTTTAATTTGTTCTATTATATGAGACATGTTGACGATTCTCCGAACAGTTAACATTCTATAATAATAAACATTTAAAATGCATTCATTGTGTTCAAATTATGATAGTAAAATTCATATTCATTTTTTACAAGCATTTGAAGTTGGATATTGAAAATTCACACATAATTAAACAAATTGGCATACGATTTTTGAAAAGAGTCCAAAAATATGAAAGACGTATAGGCACGTTTTTTTTGTTTTTAGATTTTTAAAGTTAAAATTTGGTCGAAATTTGATTTTTGTGAGATGACTACAGCCCGAATGAAAGCGATTCTTCTGAAACATGTTTTTAGGTGACAAAGTTGGGTGTGTGGCGTCAACTTAACGATGTATGACAGTGTGATTATGAATTCAAGACATATGATATTATGAATTAATAATTTTTTTTTTTTACTACAAGAAATAATTTAAACGTGTTAATATTTATCTTTATACATCATGAACGATAGTCTAGTGGGATAACGCCTCTAGTTTAAATTAAATATGTTAAAATTAATTTACAGGTTCAATGGTATAAGTAAGTAGGGGGAGACCGGGGGTAAACGTAACATTTTGCACTTTTTAACATTTTGAAGAAATTGTAGTACACATTTTTGATTTTTAACGTTATCATATGATAGAGGAATTTGTTAGCTACTCAACTATATTACAAAAATTGTTTAAGTATTAATCTTAGTAATAAATATTTTAAATTTAAAAAAAAAAAATATGTTAAAATTCTCCCAGACCCCGGGGTTAAATGTTACACATATCTTAATGCTATTTATCAATAATATTAATATAATTATATATTTTTTATTAAATTAAAAAAATCAAACCTGATAATCATGACATAAGGGTAGATGTAATCAAACTATACTAAACTCAAGTTATCATGATATATAATTATCATTAATACTTAACTAGGTAATTAAAAAATAATTAAGAACTAATATCAATTTAAAATTAGTTTTATCTGTACCAGTTATATGGTTTTAACTTTATTGATTCAGAGGAACTTAATTATAACATATTTTAAAATATTAATTTTAAGACATAATAGTTATATTTAGTAGTTAGGTTGTTAACACAATTTTTTAAGTAGGTAATAGTAATAAAAATCTATTAAACTAATATTTTTACTCTCACAATGAGAGTTACCAGTCTTATGGTTTTAAATTATGATTATAATACTAATTGTAAAATATAACAACTTTAAACGTTTTTTTAAATTATTCATAACATAAAAATAATAAAATAATAAGTATAAAAACAAATTTAAATCTTGACTTTAGACTTTAAATTATTCATAATACAAAAATAATAAAATAATAACTATAAGAACCAATTTAAATGTTGACATCATTTACACATCTGCTTCACAGTTTTCACATGTATAGTAAGCTGTGAACATTTGGTTGGTACAATCTTCATGGGCCTAAAGTTTACATTTTTTACACTAAATCTATGTCTCTCTTTGTTTGCTATTGGAATAAAGATTAGCACAAACTAAACAATATGTTTCTTCTCCATCACTATCATCACTACTGGCCTTATTATTGACTTTTTTTGGTTTCTTAAGTTTTTGTTTTTTATTTTTTTCAAAATCTATGTTTCTTTTAGCATTAAATTTTGTTCTCTATTTTTTCTGGTGTATCAGTAAGCATTGTACTTTTTCCTTTTCTTCTACTTCCTTTATTTTTAATTTTATCTTGTAATGCTGCTTTCGGATATGATTTGATATGTTCTAGTGATATTTCATAACTTACATTTAGTGGACAATGTAGTAAACCGACGTTTTTAGCATAAAAACGTAGTTTTAAAGTCCAGTGGCCTAAAACTATATCGCGCCATCTAGTCGGACCACTGATGCTGATTCCTGATTGGTTTAGGAACATCACGCCATTTCTTTGACGTCAATCATCCTCTCCTAATCACGGCATGTCTCATATAAATAGGAGCCCTCTTCACAGAGAGCTCCAGAGAGTATTTCATACACAAACGTTTCACCCATGCTTACCAAGAGCCTCTAGGGAAACGTTCCACACACATATTCTCTCCGGTTTAGTATTTCAATACTAAGTCGAAACACTTCTAAAAAGTTTATATTTTTAAAGTTATTTTATATTTAATAAATACTTAAATTTACATATTAATATTTTGTTATTAATACTATTCAAACTTAAACCTCTTCTCTTCCTGAACTACGACGTTGTACCGACATTGTGCATTCGTCGTTAAAGAAGTATTGCAGTAACCACGATCAAGTACATTAATGTGTGAAAATAATTATAACGCAATTATTGATAGTTTACATATCCGATGTAAACGTGTTAAAATAGGCTGACAACTTTTTCTATTCTGTTAATGTTAACCAATCGATTATTGTTTTATATTCTAACTATAATTAAATAACATTATCTCACGTTAATTTACATCGTTTAAAACAATTACAACACTGTATCGACTTGTATATTGTTGAAAAACAAAAGAAGTTGGAATCATACCAAAAAACATTCGATACAGCATATGCGTTGATAAAGGCTGACATCAATGGATTATCATCATCTTGTTAACGAAATGAATTTACAAACAAATATATTCAAAATTATGATTTTAGTTATAGCAATATTCAAAGTGATGATACTTCATTCATGTACGAGTTATTACAATTTTATTTTAATTCATTATCAAATATGATTTTACAAAACCTTTTGATTTAATATTCATCTTTTCGTTAGCTAAACATTTTTATAAAAAATATTCATTCTATAATTATTATTACTTTTATACTGTATTCATATTTATTATTTTATATTAAATTTTATTATATTTATTATATACATCTAATATATAAAAATCTCGTGTCACAAAGTTTGTTACCAAACTCCTCCGAAACGGCTGGACCGATTTTCATGAAATCTTTTGTGTATATTCAGTAGGTCTCAGCGAGTGATGTAAACTATTTTTTAAACCCCTAGATGTAAAAGGTGGCTCACCACAAATATTTATAACAACTGTTGGATATCGGCGATGGAAAATTAAAAAAGAAATAAAAAATAAAACATAAAAATAATAAATAAAATAAGATATAACAGTTGTTGACAGGGAACTATATGCGATAAATACGCGGTCGTTTAATATTACGAAAAATGATGGAAACGTAATCTACGTAAATAATTGTAAATATACAATATATAGTTCTCTGGCAACAACTGTAACGAATTCATCAGAAATGACTCGACCGTTGAATGGGTCGGTCTAACACAGGGGTCGGCAACTCGCGGCCCCCAAAGCAATTTTTGATGGCCCGCACAAAGGTGGTTAATTTTTGTGTTTTACTTTTGTTCAATAACATTTTTCATATAATTTTCAATATTATATAATTCTTTTTCCTTTATAAATTAAATCTAATCTAACCGTTTCATAATAGCAATAAAATTATAAGTATTATATCATAATATGTATTTTTTTTTTTTAATGTGGCCCTTATGAACAATTGAAAAAAAAAATGGCCCGTGTGGTTAAAAAGGTTGCCGACCCCTGGTCTAACACAATAAGTTTTTTCTCTCATTTATAAGTAAGGTTAATAATCACATACATATATGAACTTTAATTGTATCGATTTGTGTATTTTGTACAATGCCAGCAAGACGCAAGGGGTCTGATTTGGTCCGTCGAACGACCAAAAGTACAATCATGCGAGATAGAAGAGCACAACCGAATAATGAAAATGTACGTGTGAACATGGTGCGAATGCGTGAGGCACAAGCTGAACAAAATCAAAAAAGACGATTAGAAGCGCGTCAATTCGTAGTTGACACACGCAGAAAAAATGACCGACAACGCCAACAAGTACATAGAGCATTTACATCCAATTCATTCCTTCGTCTAGCATTCGAGTATGGGCCCGATATTAAATATTACGCTCATTCGAAAGTAGTGATTGGTGCTATGGACAAGGAATGTCCGCATTGTAATGCGCTTAAGTTCAAACATGAGCCAGCCGGCATGTGTTGCGCGTCAGGAAAAGTGCAACTACAGGAAATTGAAACACCACCTGAACCATTGAACGGTTTACTTATCGGTACGGATCCAGATTCTAACCTGTTCCTGAAGTCAATTCGAAAATTCAATTCATGTTTCCAAATGACATCGTTCGGAGCAACAAAAATAGTTAAAAATAATGCTACAAATGGTCAACAATTTAATTCAACATTCAAAATCAAAGGCCAAGTTTATCATAGAGTGGGCTCATTGCTACCAATGCCAAACAAACCACATACATTTTTACAAATTTACTTTATGGGCGGTGAGGACTCCGAAACCGCACGTGCCAATCGCGTGGATGCACATTGTAGTTACAATAACTTTAATTCACCTTTTGCCAGACGCATCGTCGGTGATCTGGACGTTTTATTGAATGAGCACAATGAATTGTTGAAATTATTCAAATCACACATGCACAAATTACAAAGTGATAATCACGCAATTGTCATCAATCCTGATAAAACACCAGCCGGAGAGCACATTTGTAGATTCAATGCAACTGTAGTTGACGACGTTGCTAGAATCATGGTTGGCGATCGTACAGCTACACGAGAAATTGTGATTCGAAGAAGAAATAATAATATTGAGTTCATTGCTGAAACACACCGTTCATACGACGCTCTCCAATATCCGCTAATATTCTGGAAAGGACAAGACGGATTGTAACAGTTCACACTATGTAACAATGTAATTGTTTTGTATTTATATATGAATACGACCCTTTTTCATAATGATGTAATTTATTTATCATATAACTAAATACATTATAAATATTTGAATATATATATACATAATAAAATTACTTTTACAATTTTACATTTCATGGGATGAACAAGAATATTGTTTTTTATGCCCGCTCAAATAAGTGGCGTCTAATTTGCAATATTTGTTCGAATTAGGCGTGGCCTAGGTAGGCGCGCTTGAGGGGACTTGTTTTATATACGGGTTGTCCTGAAAAAGACAGTTTTGGTTTCTTCGAGTTTGGCTCGTCTTCTGATTCGCTCGATGTGCCCGTCTGGTGTAGACCTCTGGAGATTTTCCGGGGCGCCGGATTATATTTCTATACCATGAATCTATGTGTGGCGCATCGAGTATCCGCGTCGAAGTTCCGGTTTACACCATTCTCCGACGTCGGATATAACGAGAGGTTACCACTTGATTAGCTCCGTGGACAGAGATAAATAATTGGCAGTCCGCAACACCCAGGAGTCGTCGTATGGTCTGAACGATTTGTGGTAAAGCTCGGTATGAATTGTGCACGGGTTCGTATCGGTCGTTTATCGCTGGTCGCGCCAAGGTTCGTCGTCGTCGTTTAACTTTGTGACGATGCGTGGCGTGAATTACGTCCGGAATTACGTCGGACGTCGCTCGATGGTCGCGACTCTCGAACGTCAGGAAAGTCGTTGTCTTTCGTCCGTACGATCAAAATGTGGTGATGCTCGTTAAGAGTTGCACACGGGATCGTGTCGGTCGTTCTTCGCTGGTAGTCACTCTTGGTGTTTCTTCTGATCTTCAATCTTCGATGTTTATTGGTATAATGTTGAAGAAGAACTGTGGAATGAAACTGGTCTCACTGCCGAATCTTACCAGTACAAGTACTAATATCCGTACCGACTAGTAAACACCTCGATTTTTTCGGTAGATCGTTGTGTTTTGTCTTGTGACGAATTTGGTCATATCTCCGATGTTTTTTGATATACAATCATGAATAAAGCATTGTTGTCTTTGTCTCATCTTCCCCTATCCGCTGATGTATGTATGATGTCTACATGGTGTAAGGGAAGACTTGGATTTAACCCTTAAGTTCAAAATGTGGAGTTTTGCGCTCATCCTGTGTTATGATTGGTTGTCGTAACTAGTGTCAATTGTTGGCTCTGTTAAGAGCCTTTTTCCAAAATATTGATACGTGTAGTTGTACCGTTTCAGGATATTGCATAAATATTAAACAACGGGATCCCGTAACAGGTACTTCATTTATTGTGAACATCATTAATTAAATTGAATTAATATTCATGAATATAATAATACAGGAGACGAAACAAACAAGAACGTTAGCTCGAAAGCTTATTATGCGTATCGTATGATGATTAGACGCGGTCAGGACAACGTCATTCTACGGTGTCGCGAGCTTTGCTAACAATTCATGGTCGACGAGTACGTGAAGATAGAGAGTAAACGACTACGATATTTACGATATAATCAACAAAAGCTGCGTGCGGAGGAATACATTCACTTGCGAGCAGGGATGTAGTCCTAAAATTATTTGTGAGTATGCTTAATATGAGGCAGCTTTAGGGGGGCTTTTGTCATCAACCCCTACCCCCCTCCTCAATTACCGTTCTATTACCTATATAAATTAATAATAATACATTTTATTAACTTCAACAGTGTAATAATTAATATTATTATAAAATTTATTTATTTACCAAATACATAATAACATAAACATAATATTAAAAACTTATATATTAAGGTTATAGAATATTCCATAGATTTTGTTTTAAACTTTCTTTTTCTTTTCTATTTATTTTTCTGGATCTATTGTCATCAGCCGTTCTATGGTGTAAAATCCAACTTTTGACATAGTCTTCAGGGTCCCATATACTCAATGGTGGACCATTAATGTTAATCATCATCAAATTTGAAATATTGTGAATTGTCAATCTTGAACGTATGTCAGTGCAAATAATATTCATTAAGCTAAATCCACGTTCACATTCTGCTGTAGAACATGGGATCGTTTTTATCAAATTATTTATTTCATTTAGTTCTTCAATTTCATTGGTTTCTTCGTCGATTAATATTCTTAATCCTCTTAATGTTTTTTCTTGATTTAAAAGAAATCTGTTACAAAGTCGTTTTACTTCCTGTTCACCAAAACGAATATTTACGTCAGCTGGCCATGTTTTTTTATCTAAAATTTGAATATCTTGTATGATTATTTTATCTTCTTCATTATTATCTAATAGTCTCATGTTTAAATTATTAATAATACTTGTAATAAATTGGTTTTTATTGATACATACTAATTTAATATTATTACATAAAGGGATATCTTTAAACATCATTTGTTCGATAGCCTCGACTGCTTCAGCATAATAATCACCATTGATAGTTTTTAAAGAATCAATTACTCTAATAGTTCTTTTAATTTTTTTATCAGCTTGTATCAAAGTTGCATCCCGACTTTGCAAATCTAATGACAGTTGAGATAATTCAGACAACACATCACACATAAGTGCCAAGTCTGAAAGAAATTGTAAGCTTTCCAACCGTTTACAAAGACCTTTATACTTGGATCTAGTTTTTTGATCACGATACTTATCCTCAGAAGCTTCTTTAAAGTGTTTGTATAAAGCTGGATACATCTTCCAAACTACTTTTACAGTTCTATAGCTGCTAGCAACCCAACGAACATCGAGTACTCGACCAATTTTTAAAAATATTTCATTTAAACTTTCACAATGCAATTTTAATTCGTTTTGGTTCTTAGGTGATCGACTATACAAAGAATATAATGTGTCCAGAAAATATTTGAAATGATACGTTGCTGTAATATCTTTTAACACATCATTAACTGCCAATTCTAACCTATGGTTAATGCAATGCCAACTAAATATTATTGGAAATTTTTCTTTTAAGCGTGCAGCAACTCCATTAGTTTTTCCTAAAAGAACACTGGCTCCATCTGTGACAAATGATATCCAATGTTCTTTTAAATAAATATCAGTAAATCCATGTTGATGTAAACATTCAAGTAGTTGGTCTATGATGTTTATAGATGTTTGACTTTTCAATTCAATTAAATCCAAAAATATAAAAACAGGTGAATCATATGATATGGAGGCTTTGAGATAAATAATCATACCAGATGATGAACTATTTGTTGTTGATTCATCAATTAATATAGAAATCTTTGAATTGGTTTCTATAATATTTTGAACAATTTTATTTCTCATTTTAGTAGCTATATGATCAATAATAGAAGTACTTGAATATCTCGAATGTAATGTTTGGCCTAATAAAACCCCATTCATTTGTTGTAATTCAACAAGATCTGAATGGTCATCAAATGGTCGGTTATTTTTTGCAATAAAATAAACAGTGCGAAATATTTTTATTGTAGATTGATAACATAGGCGTGCGCAGACTTTGTTCGCAGGGTATGCAGCTAATAAAATGTGCCCCCCACCAGATATAAATGCCCCTAAAATTAATTTGCATGACACTGTATTATAAACTTATGATTACTACTATATATTAGAAAAAAAATAGGTTTTTAATAAAATAATTTTTTTTTTTTACCAACATGTTTATTTAAATGAAAATTTACATTATACATAATTGTTATAATTCAAGCCTTCTCTTTCCTGGTATAAGAACTTTAAATTCTTCAATCACATCCTCTATGTCAATTTCAGTAGAAATATGTTGTTCTATGAATATCAACATTAATGCATCCAGGCGCTTTTGGGTCATCACTGACCTTAATTTTGACTTAACAATAGTCAATTTAGAAAATGCTCGTTCACAAGAGCAACTTGTAACGGGAATGGTAACAAACAATTTTAAGGATTTATAAAAATTTGAAAAAATTTCTGAACGTCCATTATCTACTAACCAATCTAACCATTTTGAAATGTTAATGTTGGATGAACCGCAAATAGATTCTATATCTGGTATATTTATAAGTAGTTTAATTTCTGTATGAATATTTTTTAAATTAAATGCTTCTGACAATATTTTAATGTCTGCATCATCTGTTTGAAGTTTTAACATTTTCCCCATAGATACAATTAAATTCAATGTTTCTTGTGAAAAACGTTCATCAATTCCTCGAATCATTTCATCTAACATTGGATAAAAAGTAAAATATCTCATTTCTTCAATTTTACTATCAACAGTATAGTGTGTAGAATTTTCATCAATTTTCCTGGTAAATTTTCTCTTTTTAACTTCAGGTATAGAAATAAGATTTCTTTGACAAACACTAACAATTTCATTGTAAATAACAATGAAGTTATTATCATCAGATCTCAGTTTACTGAGGTGTTCTCTAAGAGACTTCACTAGAGATACTGCAGATAACAAATCTAAGTTAGGTGATTGTAAACTGGCACTCACTTTTTGGATCATAATTAAAACTGGGCTTAATATATGCATAGAAAAAATAAAATCAAAAGTTTTCATTTGAAAAATGAGACCTTTAGCTTTGGCTCTAACTTCAGATAAATTTGTTTTATTTGAAATTTCCTCTAAGCAAAGTAGTAATGCTGAATAATTGTTTTTTACAGCTTCGATGGCTTCCGATCTACAAGCCCATCTGGTAGTAGATAGTGTTTTAAGACTTTTAAGTTTTAAGTTAATTTCTTTTGAAATGCGTTCTAAAATAGCATGACGCACTGGACTAGCTTCAATAAAACTATAAATAATTTGCAGAACACCAAAAAAATCAAAAATTACATTATTTTTTCTTCCCAAAGAACTTACCAAGATAAGATTGAGGCAATGGCCATAACAATGGACATAATATATGCTGGGTTTATTTTCTTTGATTTTAGCTTGTACTCCATTACAACTACCAGCCATGGTAGCTGCCCCATCAAAGCATACAGCAATCACATTTTTCCAATCAATCCCAATTTCATTTATTGCTTCAGTTAGTGAGTCATATACTGATTGTGCATTAACTGACAATAATCTTTTGACACCAATAAAGTGTTCTACTGGACGGTTTTCTTTTTTATTAAAGTAACGTACACATACAGATAGTTGTTCAAAATGGCTACAATCACTGGTCTCATCAGCTATAATGGAAACCTCTGTATTATTTACTTTACTTGAAATGTTTCGTTTCATAACATTTTGTATAGAAAGAAGAATATCATTTTGTATACGATTACTGATATAACTTGCATTTTTAGGTCCATTTTCTAAATGTTCACTCAACAATGAATCATACTTTTTTAACAAATCAACCATTTCCAAAAATAGTCCCTTTGAAACACTGTCTGTATTTTCATTATGGCCACGTAATGATTTCCCATTCTTTGCTAGACACAGTGCAATATCTATTAGGCGGTGCATTATACTTCTATTAATCATTCGCTGTGCTTCCCGTTTTGAAAGTTCTACTTCTTTTGATTTATTTAATACAATATCAATTGAATCAGAGTTTAAAAAAGTTGCCATAGATGATACACTTATCATATGTGACTTAGAATTTTGGTGTTTTATGAAGCGTGAAGTTGCTATATGCCAGTTATTAAATCCGGTTTTGGAAAAAGTTGGATCTTGATGACCAGCATTTAAATTAGAATGCATAAATAACCGACATGAGAAACAAAATACTCTGTCCAAGTCAATACTATATTCTAACCATTTAAAACTGTCATACCATTTTTCTTGAAAACTTCTGTAATAATTACCAATTTTAGTTCTTGAAAATAATTTGAGATGGGGTTGAAATGGTCCTTTTAAAACTCTTTGTTTAATTTCAAGTCTTGATGTTGGTAGAGTATTAGAAGGATCTTCCGGGTATTTTAATGAAGCCGTGTCTATTATTGTGCTTTCTATTGTAAGAGAAAATGAAACAGATTTTAACAAATATTTCTATGAAAATTATTGAAAAAAAAAAAATACAAACCCATTTAAATAAAATATACTAAATACAAATACCTAAAACACTTAACAAATAATTAATTAGTTTCATTCACAAAATATTTATAAGAAAAATTAAGCGTTAATATTACTTAAATAAAATAATAAATATTAAATTAATTAAAATTTAAAATATAATATTTATATTAGTAGTTAGTAATATTTATGCAAATCTAATATATTTTTATATCACATATAACATAAAACACAAATAAAATACATATTACAATACAAAATACCAATTAGTAGGTACTAACCTATAATTAAACAAAAATTTGGAAAACATAATATAGTAGTCAACACATCAATAGTATATTTAATAAAATAAAAATACCTACACAACGTATCTACAATCTACTAGGTATCTGCATTATACAAATAACAAATATATATTAGAAAAAAAAACACTCATTTAAATAGACTATGTTTTAATATTCTTGAAATATAATATTACCTATGTACAATATACATACCTTCAAAATCATTAACTGATTCTTTAGATTCATCATAAATTTTTTTGGATGTTGATTTTTCAATACTCAGTACATCATCTTCAGCTATGTAAAGTATAAATTGTATTAATACTGGAATTATTTAAGTTTTTGCCATATATTTTTTTTTTTACTTTGGCTTAAATTATTAAAATCTGCTCCTACAAGTGTAGTGTGATGCAAACCTTCACCATCTATAATAGTAAAATATGAATCACCAATTATTCTTAAATGAATTTGTTTTAATATCGTAAAATATCTTTAAAACCATCAATAAGATGTTTTAATAAGCATGCATACTTGATAATTTGTTATCTAAGAATATTCCAAATATTATGATACTAAACTTAATATATATTAGTAAGTTAATCACTGGACTTACCATTATTTGTACTACATTTCAGTACAAATTTTTCCATTGCACCTCTCATTTTATTTTTCTTGTCATTCATGATAGCAGCTTTTTTGCGTTTCGCGCTACCACTTAATTGCTTAATTTTTGAACTTGGCATTTTAATATTAGCACAGACCACAGAAGATAGAAAGGTTAGGTTAATGTTGTAAATTGTAAAAACAATACACAGAACAATAATTAAACTACACAAACGCACGATCTCGATAGTGCGATTAATAGCCAATAGGTTAAAAATTGGTGGTAATCGGTACTGATTCGGTAGGATACGCAATTTGATTAGAAACTCGTGGTTAAGATATTTTTATCAGTTTATCGGTGTTCACGTCTTGGTCAGCAACATAGAGTACTCTATGGTCAGCAAGCTATGCACCACGGATATATAAAATTATTATTAGTTAACTATAATAAACATGTGTTATAATCACGGACTAAAATATACATCGTAAAGATAAAGATGTAATCGTCGTCATTTCTAGGAAAATATAAATACCCACACTAAAAATAAAACCCATATTTCCTAAAAATATTATCGAGATTCGTTCAAAATGAATTTCGCATTACCATTATATAACTTTAACCAGTCTAAATTATGAACAGAATTTGTGTCTCATCAGTGATCAGTCATCTCTCATGTGCCCCCAGTGTCTAGCCGGTAACCGCAGGGTATGCGAGCGCATACTCTGCATACCCCGTGCGCACGCCTATGATTGATAATGTTTAGAAGTTGAAGTTTCAAATGATGTACTTAATTTACTATGTGTTTTTTCTCTTGAAATATTTAAAGCAAAGTTGTGTGCTTTAGATCTATTGTGTCTTGATATTTTATGTCTTAAAATACTTAAACGAGTAACTAATTTTGAATTGGTACCACCATCAACGTTTATTTGACTCCATTCAGTTGAGATTTCAACACCTTGACTTTTACATGTTTTTAATTCACCAACATTTTTACAATACAAACATCCAATTTTACCATCATCACAAATGAGCCAAGGATATCTATCTTTTTTCTGAATCCATTGATTGTAAGTCCATTCAGAAGGCCAAAGATGTACTTCATTAAATGGATTTGTGTTGGAATTTTTCTCTGAAGCATCTTTAAGTTGTTTCTGATCCTAAAATATTATAATAAAAACGATCATTCAAATATTGATAATATTTTCTAAAAAAATTATATTAAAAGTACTAAACAATATTACCAATTTTGAAATTTTAGATGGTGTCTTAGACGATGATATACATGTTTCCTCTGAAGTAACTGGATCATCCGGATCTGAATTTTTTTTTTCTTTGAATAATTGTTTATCCTATAATATAATGTCACAGTAAAAAGTTGTATATATACTTAGGTATATTAATAATACTGTGTACTTTATATATTGTGATATATTTCAGCTTCAAAATATAATCGATTACCTACGCATATTTTTGTCCATTCATAATTTTAGACATACAATTATTTGTATGCATACTATTTATACTCATACGAACATATCTTTTATATTCATTAAGAGTTTAAAAAATGTATAATTCATTTTAAATTATGTTTATAATATAACAATATCAATTTTAGGTATATTGTTCATAATTTAATTTTTAAATTATAAATAACCATCTACTTAATCATTTATTACTTCAATTATCAATTAATATTTAATTCACAATTTATAAGAGATAAATCTAGTTTTAAATAATGTACTCATTATTCTATTATATTTTTAATTATTTTTAAAACTGTTATTCTTATAGCACCACTGGTATCGAATGTAACAAACAAATTTTATAGTAATAATTATTAAATTATTGTGACCAAATTTGTGTATATTTATATATTAATATTATATTACAAATTACAATGATGTTTTAATCATCGTCGAAGAAACAAGGCAGATAAATATATACAGTGAAATAGTAATATTATCATAAACATTTTGAAGTGTATATTTTATTATTTTCTATTATTATTTTCTAATAATTATTTAAAATAAAAGTTATTTATTGAGTATTGACTTACCTTTGTAGATCGTATTACAAATTTATCCATATTGAACTATATTCACTGAACACAGTACCACAGTGACTAGTGACTAGTAGTTACTAGTTAGACTGTCGAATGACAAATAAGTAAATAACATAATAATATACCTACTACGATATAATTATTATTGATTGTTGACAAATCTTAAATACACTGTACAAACAAAATACGTCATAATATAATTTTATCATGTTATCGATAGCGCCGATAGCGGCTAATCTAAAAATAGACTGTTGTATACAAAAATCCATTTAAAATATTATATCATATTATCTATGAGCAATGGGCATTCCGTAACCCGCATTTCTCGACAGTTAGACATAATAATATTATGTTATAGAATTAAATGATTACTGCCTACTGACATAAGACAATTTTTGTGAAGTGACCAAGTGGCTAATGCTGGGTATACGCACGTTTTTCAGAGCATACTTGCGGTCTCTAGTTTTTTTCTTGAGTATGCTCTCTTTTTAAAATTTGGAAAGTGGGTATGCGGCGCATACCTGCGCATACCCTCCACTACATCCCTGCTTGCGAGACGCTATTCTGTCCAACGCCGACACCACCGAAATTGGTAACTCTATCATTCTACCATCATCGTACATAAGCAGTCCACGTCATATGTGTTGCGTGCCAGGTTAAAACTTCTATTTAAGCTGGGCTTTAAATTTGGGCTAGGGCTAGGGTTTTTACTAGGGCTTCCTAAATCAATTAACTGTTGGGTTTTATTTAATAATTCCAATTTTGAAATATCTGCAGATGTTTTATTCAATGGATTAGCTACTTCCAAAGGAGATGTACCTGTGTTCTCCATAAATTTCCTTCAGACTCATTTGATACGTTTTAAATCAACAATAACTTTTATATATACCCTTTAATAATCAATAATAATTCACAACAATAATCCTCAATAATTCTCAATAATTCACAATAATATATGCCCTTTAATAATCTCAATAATTCAATAATATACTTCAAAATAATTCAAATAACTCAATATGCCCTCAAAATAATATAATAATCACAATATCTCAACATAATATACCCTTTAACAATAATAAAATTCAATAATATGCCCTCAAAAAAAATTTACGACCTACTTATATACTCAGTTTCTTAAATGATACTTCTTAGGTTTTATACTTTTGTAACATATATTGTGTAATAAATTAATTAATTGTTCACTTACAATAATGCCATGTTCTGTGATGTTGTCATCTTGTCTGATATACTGCAACGTTGTTGTTGGTTTTCTCTTCTGGAGTTATCAGCAAAGAAAAGTGATCAAGTCTTTTTGTTGATGATAGCCTTTGACGGTTGCCTCCTTGAAAAGTGTATCCTACCGACTGCGCCAAAATTGTTGCGTGCCAATATCAGATTCAGATCCAAGGTGTAATTAAAATGAAATTTACAACTCTTAAATACAATTATGTTTATTCTGTATAAATAAAATACATGTAACTGATACAAAAAGTGGCTGAGTGTTGTGAAGTTGCTCAGGTCTTCGTAGCTCTGGTACATCTGCCCCTGTTGGTCTTCGTACTCCCTTATATACAAGAAAATCTCTTGTTGTTGTAATCGTCAAAATTCCAATTTAGATTAATTCTTGGAATTGTTTTCACATTTGAAACAACAATCTCCAGGATGTTATCGTCCTTACTGGCAATTCTTGGAAATGCAAAACGACCTCGCCTAACAACTACTATTTTGATTTATTATGATGTTTTTACAAAATATGAATCTAATATTTCGTATACATTATAATTATTAGATCACATATATATCTATACTACTATTGCTAACACCTATAACAATATTACACATTATATAATATATTAGCATATCTCGTAGCCCATAACATATGCAAGAATACAGCCAGGATGCTCTAACTTACGTGCGCGAATACGGCCGACCATGTTTATTTATCACGTTCACATGTAATCCAAAATGGCTGGAGATTACATCTTTATTATTGCCAGTACAAAATGCAATACATCGTCATGACATTACAGCACGAGTGTTCAGTCTTTAATGAGTTTCATTACAAAATAACATGTATTCGGTCCCACACGTTGCTGGATGTATTCAGTTGAATGGCAAAAACGAGGATTACCTCATGCACACATTTTGGTTTGGTTAATCGACAAAATACGTCCTGAAGAAATCGATAATATAATTTTTGCGGAAATTCCAGAGAAGTCTACTGATACATTACTGTTTGATATTGTTACGACAAACATGATACATGGGCTATGCGGTAATCTGAATAGTTCATCGCCATGCATGGCCAACGGAAAATGTACAAAGAGTTTTCCTAAAGAATTCAGTAACGATACAAACACAAATATCGACGGATACCCAATATATCGTCGAAGAAATATCGATAACGGCGAGCAATCTTTTAAAAAAAATATCAAAAACGTAGACATTAACATTGACAATCGTTGGGTGGTGCCATATTCGTCTCTGCTGAGTAAAACATTCAATGCTCATATTAATGTTGAGTTCTGCAGTTCAGTGAAGAGCATCAAATACATTTGTAAGTATGTGAATAAAGGAAGCGATATGGCTGTATTTCGTGTTGAAAATACCAATGTGAATGCTCCTCCGGTGAATAACAACGATGAAATAACTCTCTACCAAATTAGCCGGTACATTAGTTCCAATGAGGCTGTTTGGCGTATCTTTAGTTTTCCAATTCATGAATGGGATCCAGCAGTTATTCATTTAGCCATCCATCTCGAAAATGGCCAGCGCGTAATTTTCACGACCGACACAGCGATTGATCGTGCTATAAATCCACCAAAAACTATACTCACCGAATTTTTCGAATTGTGTAATCGTGTGGAAGCTTTTGGTACCTTTGCACGAACGCTACTATATTCAGAAGTACTGCGCTATTTTACATGAACTCAAACAAAAAAATGGGCGCCTCGCAACCAAGGCACACCAATTGATGTATGCCCCGGTTTATTCAAATCAAACACTTTGGGGAGAGTATTTACAGTCAATCCAAGGCAGACCAAGTGTTTTTATTTGCGACTGTTGTTGGTTAATGTAACTAGCCCATTGTTGTTTCAAGATATATGTGAAATGAATGGACAACAGTATCCAACGTATAAAGATACATGCCTTGCCCTCAGCTTGCTAGAAGACGACAACCAGTGGGACTGTATGCTTTCTGAAGCAGCATTAAACTGTAAATCAATACAAATTCGTTTATTATTCGCTATAGTGTTGACTACATGTTTCAAAGCCCGAGCGGAGATGTTGTGGAATAAACACAAAAATACAATGACGGATGATATTTTGCATCGACATCGTAGACGGTGGAACGATCTAACAATAATATTCAGCGACGCTATGTACAATGAATCATTAATTGCTACCTAGGATCCATGTATTGCCATTGCCAATTTACCACTCAGTCATTTCGGTAAGCATTCGCCAAATCGAAGTGCATTTGATTTAATGAACACTGAAATGAATCATGAACTGCAGTATAATACTGTAGAAATGGCTGTGATTATTAGTCGCAATGTCCCACTACTGACTGAGGAACAACGAACAATTTATGACCGCATTCAGGTAGATTCACACTATACGGAACGTCAACGTCACATCACAGACCGGCAACGTCACGTAAAATTTGTTATACATTCACATTAACCTCAAACGTCATTACGTCAACGTCAAATGTTAGGAATTATTACAGTTAGCTTGAGTCTACAGAAGTGGATCTATGTACGAACTATTTTTTTTAGTGATCATATACTAATATAATTACTATATCATCATGTCAAAATTTAATAAAAAAAAAACGTTAGCGATAATTGCAATTATTTTGGATGAGGAGAAAAGAATAGTCACCAAAAACGTAGAACAATATGGGTTCAAGAAATGTTAATTAAGAGAAACAATTTGGGGAATATTGTTGCGTGCCAATATTAGATCCAGATCCAGGGTGTTATTTAAATGAAAATTACAACTCTTAAGAACAATAATATGTTTATTACGTATAGGTTCATGTAAATGATACAAAAAGTGGCTGAGTGTTGTGAAGTTGCTCAGGTCTTCGTGGCTCTGGTACATCTGCCCCTGTAGGTCTCTGGACTCCCTTTAATACAAAGAAGTCTCTTGTTGTTGTAATCGACAACCTTCTAATTCATATTAATTCTTGGAATTGTTTTCACACTTGAAAACAACAATCTCCTGGATGTTTTTTGTTCTCAATTGGCAATTTGTGGAAATGCAATAATATATTTAAACGACTCGTCACACGACTGCTATTTTGATTTATTATGATGTTTTTACAAAATATGAATCTAATATCTCGTATATATTATAATTCTTAGGCCACATATATATATCTATATTGCTACACTTCTAGCAATATTACATAATATATTGTATATACTTATATTATTAGCATACCTCGTAACCCATAACACCTCCCCGCAAAAAAAAAAAAGGTTTATGTCTGCAAGACAGATATCTTTACAATTTTTATATGTATGCAGTTACACTTCATATACATTAATTACTTAATAATAAAAATGTTAGTAACATAAAATTTAAATCAATTAATTATATAATAAAATTTGTTAGTATATTCCTTTATAAAACACAAAAAAATCCTTCACCTTAATAGTTATTACATAATAAATCTGTGAACAATTAATGTTATTACACATGTATGTTACATTTACTAATTCTGTTTTTCTAAATAACTGAATATTATTTACCCAATTTTACTTAATAACCCTTAAACCATTTTTTATATCTTTATAATTATTCCTCAATATCCTTAATATCTGTCATCCTTAATAATCATTATTATTAATTATTTTTATAAAAAGATAATACTATAAACTACTACTATATACTCATATTATTATAATATCCTATCTTGGTGATGGTGGAGCAGTAAATGGTATATCTTCAAAAAGTTCTGTATTATAAGTTTCCCTCCTTACAGGTTTTCTATAACCAACTAACCTCCTAGGTATTATTATGGGCTACGAGATGTATTGTTAAATATAAGTATATATAATATTGCTAATATAAGTATTAGCATGACCATGACACGTGTTGGGGACTGGGGAGTAAACATATTCTTACAGATCATAACACAAGATAGTAGATACATATTATTATGAATCTCGTTGCATTAGGATCATAATGCATTTTCGGATGTAATTATCTACTTCTCAACAACATCATAACAAACATCGCAATAGTGCATTACGCGTGCCGAGGTCGAGTGAAATGCATTATTAAGGTTACTCGTATGCAACAACACATTGCATTGGCACATGTTTGCAATTAGGAGCAGATTGCATCCTGGATATTGTTTTTCAAAAAACAAGTATCAAAACAACTCCAAGGATATATATTATATATGGAAATCAAGGCTATGGACTACAATAACAAGAATCTTTTTCATATATAAGGGAGCCCAGAGACCAGCAACAGCAGATGTACCAGAGCCACGAAGACCTGAGCACCTTCACAACACTCAGCCACTTTTTGTATCAGTTACATGTACTTCATTTATACGTAATAAACACATTATTGTTCTTAAGAGTTGTAAATTTTATTTAAATAACACCCTGAGTCTGGATCTGATATTGGCACGCAACAGTATATCTTTTATCTGATGATTGCTAACGTACCTACATTTTATTAATATATACATAGCTAATATTAATATTATGCATAATATAGCTAAACCTATTGTTGCATATAATAGATTTGATTGGATAAATTTATGTTTTTGAGTTAGTTCCCTTATTATTTCATTATCAATCATTTGTTGTACTTCATCAAGAGATTTAGAAACACTATGTAAATCTGTTAATTGTATATCTGTTTCGTTATTCCATTTTTCGTTTATTGTATAATTATGCATGTGTTCAGGTATTTTGTCCAGTAAGTCTTTCATTTTAATTATAGGTATAAAATCTTTGTATTTTCTATTTAAATCTTCTTCTATCGCATTTAATACTACATCTCTTGTAAATATTTTACAACTCGTATTTATTATGGATATTTCTCCTGAGTTTTTCACTTCTTGAGTAAATGGTTCTATTACATCGTCAAATCCTACTGTCAAAACATCATGTCCTACATGTATCCATGTGTTTCTATTGTTAAGCCTATGATATATATTTTCACTTAACGTAAATTTCTTAACTATACATTTTTTTCGGTGTTTCGTCTGCTCCTTTTAATAATTGTATCTCACACGGTTGATGACTATTAGCTTCCTGTATCTGCTGTGGTAATTTACATATTTTGTATATATTTAATTCTGTGCATTCACTTATCTGTTTATCTGAATAAGTAGTAAAGTTCTTTCTATCTTTAGTTATTGCAATATATTCATATTTAAGTGAAGTAACATACCATCCAATTATTTTTTCTCCATACGATTCATAGGTATAGGTATTACATTAAATAATGTAAATTCTATGTCCATAATTAATGGTATTTTTGTAATAAACACTAATCTCTCGTTCTCATAATATACGCTCATTTTTGCTATTTTTGAAAATTCACTTATCTCTGATGGTTTTGTTCCTACAGGAATGTTTAAGTTATTTCTAAAATATTGTTTTGCTGCTCTTAACGTAATTAAAAGATATTGATATACATATCTGTGGCTTGGGTCTAAGAGGGCCAATCTCACTTTTTTGCAAAAATGAGTTTAAAAGGCCAAAATATAAAATTTATTATGCTGTTTCTTGTGCTAAAAGGGCGTAACTCAAGTACTACTAGTCTTGAGATACAAGGGTTACTTAGTTATATTTCTAAAACAGCCAATTTTATATCAGCCTTTTTTTCAGAACTCATGGAATAAATGTGAAGGGCTGATGTTTACTTGGCCCTTTTATAATTAAACACTGTGTATGATTATATTTACATTGGCCACACTGTTTTATCAGATTTCTATAAATATTAAAAATAGTTTTCGCCATCAGTTACCGATTAGTGATTAGTGATTACAAATTAAAACTGAAGGTCTAATCCGTAAATTTGTATTGTCACGGTTAAAACAAAATTGTTATTTTTTATTTAATGTATATGGATTTTATATTACACAAATAAATTTAAGTTATAAATATGAGTAAGAGCGGAAGAGCCAAGCGTCTTGTATCATTGTGTAATACAACTACTAATAATTTCGAAAGTAAGTACTATAGGTACTACTCTGACTTCTGAGACATTTATTCTTATTCATTTGCAATTAATTGTATTGGTTTTTAGCATTGACTCATGATTATTTATCTGACTCTAATAGTGAGTTAGCATTTGATCAATCAAGTGATGAAGAGTATACTTCTTACAATAACACTGTTCAATCTGAAAATGAGAGCAGTGCTGAGATAGCAATTATGAAGGTAAATAACTATTTTTGTTATAAGGTAATTAATTTAATGTTTAATTACTTTATGTGTAGTATAACTTCATAGTATAATAACTAGGGTGCGGATTTGTGTGAATTTACATATTTGTCGTGAATGATAATATTTGAATGATTCCTTTACAGAAATATGTTACAGGACTATCTGATTATTTTAAGCCAGGCGTGCTCAACCTTTTTAAAGTCGCGGGCCACATTCGAAATTTATATTTATACTGCGGGCCATGTATACTTCATGGTTTTTTTTTTTCACTTAGATAAAATGTACAACATATAAAATTATCTTTATTTACTTATCTTATCGAATAGATTACCTACTCTAATCATGTATGTTTGAAGTACTGAATATTTTTATGCTAGTCACTAGTTTGTGTTCGTCTTTAGAAACTGTTGATTATCGTTTGTGAAAATAACAAATTGAGTTTCGATTAATAAAATGTCTCAAAATAAAAAGCGGAAAATTGACTATGAGTGTCGTGTTTTTAATGACAATTGGAGTCTCTCCTATTTTTTTATTGAGCATCATAATAAAGCTATGTGTTTGATATGCTACGAAACCGTCGCGGTCTTTAAATAATTAAATATTAAAAGACATTATGAAAGTAAACATCAAGGAAAATACGTCAATTGTAAAGGTACATAATTATTTTATTTAGGTATTTAGGTTCACAAATGTATAAATAAGTCCTTTAATATACATTTTTAGGGAATGTTAGAACTTCTTTATTGGAAAAATTCAAACAAAATTTAAAAAATGAAGGAGTTAGTAATTTATTTGAAAAACAAAATAGAGGTAAAGAGGAGATCATTCGAGCAAGTTATGAAGTAGCTAACCTGATATCTCGCGAAAATAAAAGTTTTAGTGATGGGGACTTCGTTAAAAAATGTATTTTGGCAAGTGTAAAAGAAATTATTCCAGAAAAAATGTCTGTATTCGAAAATATCAGTTTATCTCGACACACTATTACCAGGAGGGTGGAAGACATAGGAGGTGATCTAATGTCACAGTTACAAATAAAATCGAAAACGTTTAAATTTTTTTCATTAGCTTTGGACGAAAGCACTGATTTAACAGATACTGCTCTATTTATTAGAGGAATAGATACAGATTTTAATATAACGGAAGAACTTGCTTCATTAGAAAGTATTTCTGGAACTACAACAGGAGCTGATATTTTTGAAAAAGTGAATTCTTGTTTAACAAATTTAGGATTGACCTGGGAAAAACTTTGTAGTATTACAACAGATGGGGCTCCAAATATGGTTGGGCGAAATACCGGATTAATTGGGAGGATAACAGAGTTCACAACTTCAAAAATGTTTGAAACACCTATATTTTTACACTGTATTATTCACCAACAATCTCTGTGTGGTAAAATTATGAATTTGGAACATGTAATGAAAGTTGTTACAAAAACAGTAAACTTCATTAGATCTCACGGATTAAAACATAGACAATTTGTAGAATTTTTAAATTAAATTGAATCGGAACATAAAGATGTGTTGTACCATAATCAGGTTCGGTGGTTAAGTCGAGGAAAAGTATTAAAACGATTTTTTGATCTTCGGCGGGAAATTCATATATTTATGATAGAAAAAAATAAACCTGTAGAAGAATTCGAAAATGAAGAATGGATGTGGGACCTTGCTTTCTTAACTGATATTTCAGCTCATTTAAATGAATTAAATCTAAAACTTCAAAAACAGTCAAAAACTATTTTCGAGGTTATAAATGATGTAAAATCGTTTGAAATAAAATTACAACTTTTTAAAAACCAAATCTTAAAACAAAATTTTTTACATTTTAAAACGTGTCAAGAAATTAAACTTAATTATCCTACTACAGACGTTCCGACAAATCATTTTATGAATATGTTGAAGCAATTATCAGTAGAATTTGAAAACCGTTTTCAAGACTTTAAATCACATATGATTTCATTTCGGTTAGTTGAAAATCCATTTCAGTCTGATGAAAATGAGGTTCAAGAAACTATTCAGCTTGAACTTATTGATTTAAAAACAAATAATCATATAAAAGATTTGTACAAAGAAATCACAGAAAAGAACACAAATTTAATACATTTTTATAAGACGCTTCCTGATGATTTTTCAAAAATAAAAGAATTATCTATGCGTATTTTTACATTATTTGGTTCTACTTATATTTGCGAACAAACTTTTTCCCGGATGAATTACGCAAAATGTTCAGAAAGATCTCCTTTGACTGATGAACACTTACACTCCATATTAAGAATTGGCGTTACACATTTCACTCCAAATATTGAAAAATTGGTAAAAGAAAAACAAGCTCAAATTTCACATTAATTTATTTTTTATTTAATATTATTAAGTTCAATGAATTTTTTTTGTATTTATATTAAAATTGTAAAATATCTTGTAATTTTTAAAAGCTTATTAAATTAACATTTTTCTTAAATTACAATTTTTATTTTTATTTATGCCTTTACAATCCTTTAATTTTTATAAAATGGTCACGGTCCACGGGCCGGTCGCAATACTTCCGCGGGCCGGATTCGGCCCGCGGGCCGTGGGTTGAGCACGCCTGTTTTAAGCTATGGTTGATATTACATATTTTTGTTAAATATTGAGCTATTTACAGAATTAGTAATGTATCGCCGTTTTATATTATGAGTTGTTATCTTCTCCAGTCCGTGGGTGTGCAAATTATAATCGCAAGTTGCGACTATTAGTCCATAGTCCACACATTATCGACCCAGTTATCGCTATACGCGTTTCGATAAAAGTAAATTTAATTTCGTTATTTGTTGTTTAGTCATTGGAGAGATGTCCGTGTGTCCTCGTGTTTTTCGTATTTGTTGAGTCTCTTTAGTTTTTGATTGTATAATATTATTTTATTATATTAATATAGTTATATCCTTATATCACTGTGTTTAATCGAAAATGCCGAAAGTTGCTCCTAAAAAAAGAGACCTCGTAATGAGGTACGTGCGAGATTTTCAGAACGAAACATTTCGTAGCGATTCGAATATTTTGTACTGTGATGCATGTGATAAAGCCGTATCAACTACTCAGCGCTTTCAAGTTACACAACACATAGGAACCGCAATTCATATAGCAAATAAACAGCGAAAGACAACAACAGTACAACAGTAACAACGGTGACCCCGTCTGATTCTGTCATCACCGTTCCTGACCATGCTTCGCTCGAAGTGGCCGAGGCTGTTCATACTCGTCTTCCCGGCTTCTGGCGTAACTCACCGAAGCAGTGGTTTAAACACGCGGACGCGGTGTTCTATTCTTACCGTATAAAAAGCGACGTTGCACGTGTGAACCACGTGCTTGCGGCACTCTACGAGGACGGCATTCGCATGGTTTCCGATCTCCTGGGGGAGGCTGCAACCTATGATGTGTTGCGCTCCAGGTTGATCGACACCTACAGCACGCTACCAGCTACGCGCCTTCGGGCGATCATCCAACCGGGCGGTATTGGTGACTACACGCCATCGCAACTATTTCCCGACATGCGAGTAGTATATCCCGAAGACATGGGCGACGCTTCTCTCCAAGAGTTCTGGGCACACAAGTTACCTCCTGTGGTGCGCACCGTCATCGCCAGTCTTTCAGGTCCGCTCGACATGCTCGCCGAGCGCGTAGACCGCGTGATGGAGGCAGCTCGTGGTAGCGAGCTGTCCACCATTCACACGCCGCCCAGACGTCGTTCCTCAGCAGTTTATCCACCGACGATGCATGCCGACGCCGATGAACGTCATGAAGTCACCGCCTTCTTACCACGTGACGGCACCCACGCACGTTTGACCAGCCTGGAGAATGCTGTCCACACTCTAATCACGCACGTCGCGACTCTTTCGGCTCGACTACAGGCTTACGAAGCGCCTCACTCAGTCGCGCAAACACTCGCGCAAGCACTCGTGCCGCCTCCAGTCGCGCAAACTTGCACACCAACACCAACCGCACAGCCGTGCGCACTACCAACCCGTTCCGGTTAGTGTTACTACCACGTGCGTTACGGCGCTGAGGCACGTAAATGCCGTGACCCGTGTACGTTCGCGCCGCCTATGCGGAAAAATCCGTAAGGCGGTGGTGTTCGCACAACACCTCGCCACACACCCCCTTCCTTCTTAAAATCGCCGACTCTTCGTCTCAGACACACGTTCCAGACGTCGATTTTTAATCGATTCCGGCGCGGAAGTTTCGGTAATCCCAACCTCGACCACGAACATCCTTCAACACCGAAGCTCAGACATAAACCTCGTGGCCGCCAACGGCACGCGAATCCAAAACCTTTGGCCCTCAGAGCTCCACCTCGACCTAGACTCAAACGACTCTTTACCTGGACCTTCGAAATCGCCGACGTAGCCCGGCTAATTATTGGCGCTGATTTTCTACACTACTTCGGTCTGTTAATCGATGTTCGCAACAATCGACTCGTCGACTTCTCACAAAACAATTTCGTCGAAGCAGTTTCCGTCACCAATGCTCACGACACCACGTTGTGCACTATCGCGCAACCCACGCGATGGACAGCGTTACTGTTTGATTACCCCGAGGACACGCGAGAATCGCCGGTCCCGACCAAGTTCTTACACGACGTCGTACACGAAATCACCGACCGGTCCGCCGCTCTTTTCACGTCCACGCCGACTACCTCCCGATTGTCTTCGAATAGCACGCGCCGAGTTCGAGTTCATGCAGCAGAAAGGTATCTGTCAACCATCATCGAGCGCATGGGCAAGCTCGTTGTTCCTAGTTTCCAAAAAAGACGGCACATTTCGACCATGTGGGGACTACCGTCGACTCAACGCGGTATCCATCGCCGACCGCTACCCCCTGCCGCACCTACACGACTTCACGACCATTCTCGCCGGAAAAACTGTCTTCACCAAGCTCAACTTCGTCCGAGCGTACCATTAAGTACTGATCGCGCCCCAGGACGTACACAAAACCACCGTCACGACACCGTTTGGCCTTTTCGAGTTTACTGTCAAGTATTTCGGCCTACGTAACGCCACTCAAACTTTTCAATGAGTGATCAACCACATACTACGAGGACTATATTTCGTTTTCGCATACATCGACGACGTGCTGATCACCTCTCGTAACGAGACCGAGCACACTTAACACGTGCGCACCGTACTCGAACGTTTCCAAAAATACGGCATCGCGATCAACCCGGCGAAGTGCGTTTTCACGACGAACACCATGCTTTTCCTCGGACACATCATCGATGAACACGCATGCCAACCGAACGCTGAACGCGTTACGACCATTCACGAGTGGACACTATCGAACACCAAAAAAGAACTGCAACGATTCCTAGGGTCACTGAACTTCTATCACCGCTTCATACCCAACACCGCCGAAATTCAAGCACCACTGTACGACTTCATCTTCGAGATTAAGAAGCGCGACGGACCACTTCAATGGACAGACGCAACTCGCGACTGTTTCTACGCCTGTCGACTAGCTCTCGCAGACACCGCGCGACTCGCGCACCACTCCGTCTTAATACAGACGCGTCAAATATCGCCGTCGGAGCCGTTTTCGAACAAAAGGTCAACGACCAGTGGCAGCCGCTCGGCTTCTTTTCAAAAAAACTGTCTTCCGCCGAGCAGAAATATAGTACGTACGACAGGGAACTACTCGCCACGTATTACGCAACTCGACACTTCGTCCACGTCATCGAAGGGAGAATTACGACGCTCAGGACCGACCACAAGCCGCTCACGTACATGTTTTCTCTCAAGACCGAAAAAATAATCGATCGACAAGTACGTCAAATTTCGTTCCTATCACAATTTTTACACGGCATCGAACACGTACACTGCGAGGACAACGTCGTCCCCGACGCGCTTTCGAGACTCGAGATCGCCGAAACAAACGAACTACCGTCATTACGACAATGTCACTCGACCAGGTCAACGACCCGCAGCTACAGCAAATTATCGCGGACGGTTCAACGACCTCGCTCCGGCTGCAATCGCGAAATACGCCCGACGGAAAACTTTACTCCGATTTTTCAACTGGTAACGCACGTTTATACGTGCCTGAGAAACACCGACGACGCGTTTTCAACATCCTCCACGACCAAGCTCACGGCAGAATTCGAGCTACCCTACGACTCATCAAAACTCGGTTTTGCTGGCCCGAGATGAACCGACAGATCACAAACTGGACACGTTGTTGCGAACCGTGCCAACATGCAAAGGTAAGCAAACACACATCGTCTCCTATCACGCCTTTCGCGTCGCCGAACGACGTTTTGGACATATTCACGTCGATATTGTCGGCCCCCTGCCACCCTACAACGGTTTCAAGTACCTCCTCACCGTTGTCGACGATTCACGCGCTGGCCCGAAGCATGGCCGATCGAAAATATTTCCGCGCACGCAATCGCGCAACTTATCACCACGAACTGGATAGCGCGTTTCGGCGTGCCCGACACTATTACCACCGATCAGGGAAGGCAGTTCGAGTCCGATTTGTTCCAAGCACTTATGACCACTTTCGGCATCCAGCACGCGAGAACGTCACCTTACCACCCACAGTCCAACGGCATGGTTGAACGTTTTCATCGAACGCTCAAGTCCGCGCTTACCTCGCACGAATCGGCAAATTGGTCCACTAAACTTCCCATCGTGCTACTCCCACTACGCAACACAATCAAAATCGGTACCACGCTCCATCCGAGCCAAAGCCGCCCGACTTGGTCACTGCGTTACGCAAATCGATGAGCCAACTACGCTACACGCCTAACCACGACCAACCATGACACTCGACACACCACGTTCGTGTCCACCGACCTCAACCGAACGAGCCACGTCTTCGCCAGCATCGACGCCGCTAAACCACCGCTTCAACCGCGCTACAAGGGTCCTTTCGCCGTCTTACAACGCCGCGAAAAAGTTTTTAAGGTTTAGCGCAGGGTTTGCGCTAATGTGCAGTACAACACAAATTGTGCAGTTCTAAAATAAAATGTGCAGTTCTAAAACGCTAATTATGCAGTACTTACTGCTACCTAACTGTTTTAGCATTGTAAAATAATAACTAATATACTATAGATAATAGTATAATATATACAAAAACGATTTGTATTAAAGTTATAATAATTCATAATAATCAAATTATATTATCAAGACATTAGGATACAACCATGAACTTTACTAATGTGGAATATGTGGATTGACGGATTGTAATAATATGTTAAACGCATAGAGTAGACATTTTACATTGTTAAATTTGTTATTTGAAATTCCGGCTATTTTTATATTATTTATACTCGGTTTTCCAAGTAAGATAACCAATTCATTATATTATAAATATTATATCATTATTCATTATTAAACTATTATTACAAATTATTATTCGAAAATAGCTCCATGTGGACCTTTAATTATTATTTTCTTTTAGCCAATGAAATAATAATATTATATTTAGTTTATTAGTTATAATGTTGTTTTTCTTGGACTGTCGTGTGTTGAATTTCCGCACATGAGTATCATTGACCGAATTGTACCCATGCTGCAGTCAACGTGTTTAGACAACGCATGGAGTATTATTATTATTATTATTATTACATATTATTTAATGTGTCTAATAATTGTACGACAATCAATCACCGACCATCATTAGTTTGGTCATAGACATATCACGGCAAATTACAATGAATACTTAAGTTTTAATATTTCACTATTATTCATTAATTTAGAGCGCGGATATCTATGCAATTGCATATTTTTTTCCTTTTTACTGTTTTGGATTTTGTCACAAAGCGTAATAATTTGAATCTTTTTTTATTTTTTTTTTTTTTTATTGAGAAAGAGACAATCTATACACAATTAAGCACAATAAGTCATTATGATAACAATTAGAAATTAACATAACATGATTCACATGATAGGGGAAGTCACCCACTGGTAATACCCCTCGCACAAATATTTGGGTTTTATTATATTATATTAAATATCTAGATGTATCAAGGATAATTGTATAGTTTGATGTTGTTGTTGATGTTGTGTTGTGTTGTGTTGTTTTTTTTTTTTTTTTCAGAGTAGTAGATCACGGTTCCAATTTCTTTTCAGTCTACGTGGAGGTTGGTCAGGGATGAAATTTGAGGACATTTTTTGAATTAGGTGATTAATGTTCGAAGGCAGTTTTATGTAAAAGGATTTGTAGTGACGTTTTGAAAGTTTATTTACTGTTTCGATTTGTAAGTCATTATGAATAGATTCATTCGTTACATACCAGGGAGCACCAGTGATGATTCGAAGTGTTATATTTTGAAATGATTGGATGGGGCGGATGTTAGAAGGTTTGGCTGGCCCCTAAACTTGAATGCCATAGGACCATAGTGGTCTAATAACGATTTTATATAATAGTATTTTAAGTTTTAGTTTTAGTTTGGATTTTAGAAGAGGCCGGAAAATGTGGAGTCTGCTATTTGCTATTTTTCTTTTATTTTTTAGGTGAGGGCCCCAAGTAAGGCGTTTGTCAAGTATTAAGCCGAGATATTAAATTAGGTTTCATTACTGACAGGAATATTCACATTATTTAATGTAATTGAGGGACAGTTGCCATGGCGAAGGGTAAAAGTAACTTGAGTTGACTTGCTTTCATTTATTTTAATCAGCCAGTTTTTACACCAGGCTTCAATTAGGCTAGTATGATGTTGTAGATTGTGTGCAGCTATAGAAATATCAATGCTTGTGGACAATAAGGCTGTGTCGTCGGCAAATGTGGCTAATAGTGTGTTGGGAGTTTGTGGAATATCGGCAGTGTAAATATTATAAAGATCAGGCGCTAGATCGCTACCTTGAGGCACTCCTGCAGTGATGTTGAATCGGGGCGAAAAGAAGTTTCCTTGTCTAACACTGAAGCTTCGATTTTCTAGAAAAGATTTGATAACTAAGTATAATTGAGCTGGCATGAATTTTTTCAATTTAAATAGCAGCCCATCGTGCCAGACCTTATCAAAGGCCTGGGCAACATCCAGGAAGAGTCCAGCACAATATTGCCTTCTTTCTAAGGCAGAGGCAATTGAATCAGTAAGTCGATGGACTTGGTGTATGGTGGAATGTCCTGGCCGAAAACCAAACTGGGTGGTAGGTATAATTTGACGCCCGTGTAGGATGGGTCGAATTCGGAGAAGAATCAATTTTTCGAACAATTTGCCAAGCGTTGGTAAGAGACTGATGGGTCTGTATGATGAAGCTAAGTTTTTTGATTTTCCTGCTTTTGGTTTAACGATTACGACCGCATGTTTCCAGATGGTGGGAAAATAAGAAAGCCGCAGCATTGAGTTGTAAATATGTGTTAAAGATAGGATACATTTTTTTGACAGGTTTTTTAAAACTTTGTTTGTGATTAGATCATGCCCAGGTGCCTTACGTGCAGGTAATTTCTTGATAAGACAGAGAATTTCGTTGGGTGAAATTGATTTTGTAGGAGGAGACATTGGTAGGGGGGAAGAGATGAACTCATTAACTTGGTTCAAGTGTTCGGGATTCGGAAAAATATCTTGGTGGGGCTTGAATGTATTGGCTAGATGTGCGGCAAAAATAAGGGATTTTTCTTCGTCTGTTGACGCTAGCAGATTATTACTTGTGAGGAGAGGTGGAATGATTTCTCGGATTTTTGTTATTTTTTTTGTGGCTCTCCATAAAGAATTGGGAGTGGGTTCTAAAGAGTTGATATAATTCTCATACTGTATGGCTTTGTGCTTAATAAGTTCTTTTTTAAGAAGATTTGATAGGTGATTGAATATTTTTTTGTCGCTGGGGAGACGAGAATATTGCCATGTAGATCTCGCATTTCTTTTTTTGTTTAAAAGGAGTCGTAAGTTGGATGGGAGAGTGTTTTGAGGTTGTGAATTGCCGGGGGTAATTTTGGTTGAGGAAATAGCTGCTTTTTTTATAATTTCAACCAAGTTTTGTGCTGCATTTTCGACTTGATCTTGTGTTTTAAGTGAAACTCTAAGGTCTATTAAATTGTCAAGATTAGTTTTGAACACGGTTATCTACTCAGGTTGGAGCTCGCTCCTATACATCCAATGTAATAGCCGTGACGAAGTGGCAACATATGTGAACTATTAGCGCTAGTAGTAGTTGGCCCGCTATTTTGCAAGCGGCGTTCCGGCGCGGCGTACGGTACGCATTGTTATTGTTTTTATATTTACAATTTATTATCTATTACTTTTCCAGTTTTAACTGTTTTAACTTTTTAAGTAGTATTAACTATTAATTTATAATGGTGAAGTGTGTAGTTGTGGGCTGTACTTCGGGATACACTAGCAATAAAGAAAAATGTCATAAATTTTGTGCTCCAAAAGATCTTGATCTTAGAAAAAAATGGCAGATGAAGATTCCGAGAAAAAATTTTATTCTCACTGAAAAATCATATGTCTGCGAAAAGCATTTTAAAGAGGATGATATTGTGAAGTTTTGGGAATCTGGCACAATTAAGGTACGTATTTTAAATATAATGCCTACAGACTATGATTTAAGATATACCTTATATCTTAAACAGTGCTACAAACTATAACTATTGATATTTTAGATTCCGTACAAACAGTGGCGACTAAAAGAAGGAGTAGTCCCCTCATTATTTCCCAAAATATTTCCCAAAAAAAATTAATTTCCCTATTTCTATAGGCCCAATTTATTTATCAAATATTAAAAAACCACGAAAGCCACCATATGTACGTGTTAACACGAGTAATACTTCTAATTCTAATACTATTTTAAATCAAAAAGTGGATTCATTCAATAATCTAGAAGTATTGAATATAGTGGAAAACCTTACTGAGGACATTGAAGGTATTACAAATCAATTTTTAACTAAACACCATATTATTAAATTATATCTTATGCTAGGTAGTCTGAAATATTTTATGTTATTATCTATTTTTATTTTAAAACATATATTTAATTGAAATATTAAAAATATTAATTGTTGAGTTAAAATCTATTTAACAATTAATTATATATTAAAATTAGTATTAAAAGTCTTATAAGAGCATGTATAATCTCATTAATATTTATTAATACACCTAACTTAGCTTAAAACATTTTTTTTAGGAATTTATAATATTTAAATACCTATAAGTATAGGTATATAAATTTTAGTTTATTGATTATCTTATCTTAAATTATTTAAATTTCCATCATTATATATTTCATACTGTTTAACAACTTATTATTCTTAATTATAAATACAAGTTAGTACATTTACTAATAATACATTAAAAGTAATTATATATATTTTTAATTGCAGTAAAAAATAATACATTTTAATGATGTAACATATCTAATAAATTTATTAAATAAATTTTAGGTAATTTGTTTCAACAATTATCTGTTGATTTTAAATTAATTGGTCCTTGGACAAAATTACCCATCTCTCAATCAGAAAAAAAGTTGTGTTTTGTAACATTCAATTTGAATTCAAAACCAATGCCTACAATTCAGAAGTGTATACAAATTGATGAAAATAATCATTTGACCTTTGCTGTAAATGGAAAAATTGTTCAATTAAAACAACATGGTTATCATATTACTCCTGGAAATAGTAGAGATGAATTTTTAAAAAATCTTAAAAAATATGAAGATATAAAGTTATGTAATGGAGGGCCCATTGCAACAAATTTTCCTAATGCCTCTAAAAACGTATGTGCTATTAATTCAGAAGGTCTTCTTCATCATCATGAATGCTTTCTCATTATTAATAAAGAATCCAAAGCCACATTTTGTACCAATTGCAGTCGCTTAAAAAATGTGTTGATATGTAAAAAAAGAAGAAATATGCTAAATTCTAAAGAAATGCTTGAAGTTTCACCTTCTAAAAAACAAAAAATTGCTGAAATCAGACAAAAATCATATTCACTTCAACGTAGAGTATTAAGAACAAAAAACAAAGTTATAGAGTTACAAGAAGAATTAATTAAATCACAAAATGATATGGCCGAATGCAATAACAAATTTTTAGAAGATAAACTTCAGGGAATGAATGATTCACAAAGAACTCTGATCTTGGAATGTTTTTCTGCCAGTAAACTCAAAAACTCAAAATCACGTAGATATAGTGAAAACTGGTTGATGTTATGCCTGTTGTTAAATATTCGTTCTCCTTCCACGTACAATTATCTTCGAGCCAGTGCTCTGTTACCACTACCACATAAAAAAACTGTTCGAAAACATTTATCATGTGTAAAAACAACTTGTGGATTCGACTCAGACTTCTTAAAACTTTTACAAAAAAAAGGCGAGACTATGCTTGTAAAAGACAAACATGGAGTGTTGTTGTTTGATGCAGTTAGTCTTAGAAAAAGCTTAGCTGTTAATTCGTCAAATTTAACTTATTCAGGTCTTGAAGATTTTGGAAACGATTTTGAAAATAATTCTTGCCATAAAGATTTTGCTGATCATGCATTGGTCTTTATGTGGCAATCACTTGGGTCAAACTTTTATCAAACTATTGGTTGTTTTGCCTCGAAGGGTGAGGTTAAAGGTAAATGTTTATTTTGACTTATTATATATTAGTATATTAATGTATATAATATTATAGTGTATATAATAATGTTAATAATATTTATAATTTGTTTCTAAATTAATTTTTTTAGGTGTAATGATTGCACAGTTGGTTCTAAAAGAAATAATTTTATTGGAAAATATAGGCTTGTATGTACATGGGATTGTATGTGATGGCGCCACAACTAACCGGAGAATGTGGGTTGAACTAGGAATTGATGGATCTAAAACCAATTTAAAAAACTACTTTGAACATCCTGTTTATCCTGAAAGAAAGATTTATGCTCTATCTGATTTTGTTCATCTTTTCAAATGCGTTCGAAATCGTTTATACAATAACAAACAATTAAAGGTAGGTACCTACTATTTATATTTTTAATTTTATTAAATTAATTAATCACAATAATTTTCTTAGCTTCGAGCAGATTCCAAACAAATTGCTTGGAATTATTTCAGAGAAGTGTATAAAGCAGACATACAACATCCTGGAAATTTGAGGCTAATTCCAAAAATAACTACACAGCACCTTGAGTTGACATCTATGTCTAAAATGCGTGTCCGCTTATGCACTCAGGTATACTATCTTACAAGTATTTGTTTTTATTTTTTTTTATTCAAAAAACTAATAACAAATGTATGTACAATTTTAATATTAATAACTATTATATTCAATAATATTAGGTATTCAGTATGAGTATGGTAAAAGCCATGGAGTATTATAAATCGAAAGGTAATCTCATGCTCAGGGGATCAGAAGAAACTATACATTTTATTGAGTTTTGGAACAATTTATTTGATAGTTTTAACCGTACCCTCCCATGGCAAGGCCTGAGGTTGAATAATGATGAAGGGTTTCAGGTAAATAAATATTTTATACTTATAAAGTATACCTATATCATTTATATTTTTATATGTCTATAATGTAATATTAGCAAAAAAAAATATATGGTTTTTATATTTTAGATTTTTAAAGATGCATTAAATTATATCGACTCTTGGGAGGATCAAATGGTATCTGGTAAAATTGATCCTGAAGATTTTTTGACTAATTCAACTGCCCAAGGACTCAGAGTCACAATAAGTTCCACAATTGATTTATCTTCGTATCTATTGAAATCATGTGGATATGATTATGTTTTAACAGGAAAAATGTCCCAGGATCCACTTGAAGTAATCAATAATAAAACATTATACCATACGAATAATTAACTTTTTATAATACTTTTTTTTTAGAAATTTTTTGGAATTGTAAGACAATCGTGTGGCCCCAATGATCATCCCACTACTCCTACTTTTCTTCATTTATATAAAATCTTGTCTGTTTACTCGGTCCTTAAGCCACCAAAATATGGCAATTGTACGGTGACAGACACTGATGTCCCTAAAATTTCACTCTCTGACTTGAAAAATATTTTTCACGACAAATCATCAGAAAGGTCTGAAAAAGTGTACAGACTTAAAAAGAAATTGGATTCTTTAATTGAAGAAGGTTTATGGGAACCATGTGAAGTATTACCTCAAATCAACAATGATATTGAATCTAGTACTAGAGATTGCATACTTTATTATGTTTGTGGGTATGTCACTAAACAAATCCTAAGAAAAACAAACTGTAGTGCATGTATTAGCTACTTTAAATCAGGTGACACAAATCATCCTTGTGCTGAGCTTGTAAATTTAAAAACTAATGGGAAGCTTATTTATCCTAACACTGCATTGTTTGAATTTTTAAATACTGTTGAACATTCTTTTGGGAAGCACTGCAACGATTTTAATGTATTTGAAAATGTCATTGAAGAGATTACAGAAAATAATTTTAATTTTAAGTTTAGCTGTTCTTTTCACAGTGTTGAAGTTACAACTAAAATAATTGTATATTTTTTGCAAATGAGAATGCGGCAGCATTCCTATCAAGAAACTATAAAATTAAAAAAAATATCCAGAGAAAAAAAAAAGATTTCAAAGTTGTATAATACATAATATTTATAAATCAATGCATATTTTTAATACATTTATTTAGTATATGCTTTATTTAAACTGCTTTATTTATTTTTGATATTCTTCTTAGTCCTCAATAAGAGCTATATTCAGGATGGACAGCTTTTAATTCCTAATTTATGCTTATTGATTAAATGTTATGTAAATTATAAATGATTTGATTTATTTTGCAGGCTCCAGGAATCATCACTCTAATAAATGCAGCATAACATAGCCTAATAAAATCCAGCAACTAGCTAACATATTAAACAAAAAAATAAATTATTAAAAATTATTTAATAGTTATCCTACAACCATTTTTAAATTGTTGCCAATATGGCATAGATTAATTAAAACGCTACGTTCATATTAAATATTAAGTACAAAATGTCGTCTATATATTCACAAAGTAGTAAAAACTAAAATTGTATTATGTACCTTATAATTTAAAGATAAACCATTTACTATTGAGTTTTGAGTATGGTAAAGGTTGAAATTATAGTTTATTTCAATATTGATTAAGATCTTCACATTTTACTATTATTTTAAGTCTATAATATTGGTAATGGGATTTGGTTTGCCATCTCCCGTCATGTGCGCCGCGCGCCCGCGCCGTAGTATAGAAAAGATAAACGCGTATACTGAATATGGGGCCAACTACTACTAGCGCTAATAGTTCGCCTACGTCGCCACTTGAACACGTGATAGGGATTCGAGCTCCAACCTGAGTAGATAACCGTGGTTTTGAATAAATCCCAGGCGATGGGTCCTTTGGTGAGTGAGGGCCGATCATTTTGTTTAGGTGATCCACCAATTGAGAGAGTTACGGGGGTGTGGTCACTGGAGATATGACAGATATTACTGATATCTGTATTAAGATGGTTTGGAATATTTGTTATGAAGAAGTCGAGTATATCTGGATTGCGATTTGAATGTGAGGGCCAGTAGGTGGGTCCGAGTGGGGATACAAACGACAGATTACTATTATTAAGGATAGAGTGGAGTGTTTTTCCTCTTTGGTTATCGGAGATACAGCCCCATTGGGAGTGCTTAGCATTGAAGTCACCACCTGCTATGAAATGATGGCCTAGAGTATTGAAGAGACGAAGAAATGTGTCGCGTTGGATGGCATGACGAGGTGGGCAATATATGGAGGATACGGTTATTGGAATACTATTTATTTTTATTAGAATACTAGTTGCTTGAATAGAGGACTCTTGGAAAGAGGTTAATATATTATGTTGGATGGAGTTGGATACTAAAATACAGGAACCTGCATGTGCTGTTCCATCGGGATGATTTGTTTTATAAAGGGTGTAATTGAAAATACTAAATTTGATTTTTTCAGTGAAATGGGTTTCTGTTATTAGTGCAATATCTATTTTTAAATCATTTAATACGGTTTGAAGTTCATTTTTGTGTTTTGAAAGACCATTAGCATTCCAAAGTAAGATTTTTAGCGGAGCAGATTCATTTGGTTGATCGTTAGTCATTTTTTAGGATGATTTTGTTAATAACTGTAGTTAGTAGTGATATTAGGGGATTGATAACTGATTTCAGATCTGATATGAATAGTGAAAAATATTTTGTTAAATCATTGATGTTAGTAGTAGTATCATTATTGTATTTGGGGGGGGGGTCATTTTGGTTCGCATTTTTTAATACATCTGCATAGTTTGCATTGAGATCGGTCTTATTAGAACAATTTGGGGAAGGGTCGTTACCAGTAGGGACTTGAACATTATTTTCTTTATAAAGTGATATATTTGATTTTTGTGTATGGCTTGGTTTATTATTTAGTTTTGAGTTGGTATTTTTTTGCTGTTGGTAACTTTTGTAGGCTGGGCATCCTCGATAATTGGCTGGATGGGGTCCTCCACATAATATACATTTAGGTGGCTCGTCTTTGGGTTTGGGACATTCATTCGTCGAGTGAGAACCGTCACATTTTACGCAGCGGGTCTGATAATTGCAATAGTGCTTTGTGTGTCCGAAGTTTTGGCACCTATGGCATTGCGTTAATTGTTTTTTCGGGCGAGGTTCTTCGAATTTGACTACTGAATGGCAGATTAGGTTTATTTTGAATATGTCGTTATTATTTGATTCAGGTTCAAGATCTACGAAGAAGAGAGGAAGCGGTTTTTTTGTTTGATTCTGCAGAACGTTTGTAACTTGCTTTACTTTGAAACCGTGCTTTGATAATTCGTCTTTAATGAAGTCGAGGGGAGTAGATTGATGTAAATTGCGGAGTATTACTCGGAATGCTTTTTCGTCTTTGATCTGGTAGGTGTGGAAATTGACTTCTCTCGATTTAAGTAATTGGACAACTTTTCTGAAGGTATCAGGTGTATTTAATTGCAGTTTGATTCCTGATGTGTTACTCTTGCAAGTAAAGTCATCAGTGTCGCAATAAAGTTTAATTGCAGTGCAAAATTTAAGAAAATCGACATCGGATTTTATAAAAATAGGTGGTGGTTTGTGGATTATAGGTTCGGTTGGTTCGGTCGTTTCCATATTATGATCATCTTCGATGTCGAGATTAGCGTATCGATTCGGCGTTGTGAAAAAGCTATCTGAGCTTGGGTGTTTATTTAGTGGAGATAGTCCAGGTGATTTCGTTGAAGGTCTTTTATTATTTTTAGGTGTAGCAATTACCCAGTCTGTATCAGAAAGTGTATTTTCGGTTATCAACGGATTGAGATTAGAGTTTGTTTGATTGCGCTTTGTTATAATGATGGGCGTAATGAGCTCATTAGTGGTTTTAGATAACGGCCGAGTCGGCGATGTCAGCGGTGACTGAGTTTTTTTTGGCATTTTGTTGTTTGGAGTTAATTATTATGTGAATAATAATAACTTACCCAGATCCCGAAGGAACGAGATGCTGTAGACGTTCTTGATATAGTTCTGACAAAAAGAGATGTGTTTTAAACGAAAATGAAACAGTGAGGAAATGAACGTCGGGTGAACGATTATTAGTGTATAGCATGAGCAAGGCAAGATAACGCGTTGTACGTGCTTCACTGTCAACTGCCACACGGCAACTAATTTGAATCTTATGGTGAAATTTTATTTGTATATTTCTGTATATTTTTACAAAAATCGAAATATATTGCTTATTAAAATGGACATTTTTTATTTAGGTACTTAGTTTATTTAAGTAATTAATTATTATAAGTTGTTTAATTAATAAATTTTATGAAAGTAAAAAAACATGTTTTTGCATACCTATTTGTTAAATATTTTTTTTTTTTTTTACTGCATATTATATGGCATATTTCGATACTTTTTAATGCATAAAAGTCCGGGCTCTATTCATAAATCATAATAATATAGATGAATAATTGTAACCAAAAGAACCTGTTATGGGTATTATGTAGCGAGTAGTGGTAAAGTGAAAATGTTAAATATGAAAATATAAGTCACTTATTAGCCAGAACCAAAAAAGATTTTGAAAATCAGAAAGTAATGATACACATATTTAACAAACTAATGGCATTGAAAATAATATAAATTTTTAAAAGAATACAAATAATATTATTTAAATGGTAAATTATTATAAAATATACATAGGTAGTGTTATAGTTTATCTAACAAGCAGTTTGCAACCATATGTATGTTTTATGGATTTATTTATTTACATACACTCTTTATACTAAGTAAATGCTGTGATAAATACTGTGTAGTTAATTATTAACTTAACTTTTGTTTAAAATTACATATTTTATTAAAGTATTTAAAAAAAATTCAGCAGTGTTTGAAAATAAAATCAATGGCATAGTCAGATTTTGGTTGTTTAATTTTGATTACCCTATGTTTAGTTAAACATTTTTTTTTTTTTAACTTTTGGTGTAGAGCAAAAGCAAATCAAATTTTATGCAATCATGGCTTCTAAAACAAAATAGTAACAAAATTAATACAGCTTTAAAAGAAAATAAGAATACATCAGGTAACTTTATTTTTATAATTACTCATTTTACAAAGAAAAAATAACAATTATAATATTTAAAAACACATTTTAAAAGAAGATCTTGACAGCCCTGTTCAAATAAATCCAAATGTAGAAAATGATAAAGCATCACTGTCAAAGATATTGGATATTAAACTTACAACTACAAATATTAATGTTGAGCAATCTGTTATAGAAAAATCAAATTGCAGTTTACCAAAATCAAAAATAAGGTCTTCAAATGCAAATGAATATAATCCATTTATTTTTCATTTTCATAGTAATGGACGACATTATATACGTTGTACTGCATGTTTTGAAGAACCAAGTGTTAGACGGTTTTCAAATAAATCAAAATTACCAGCTATTGCACAAGAAAGTGGAACAATATACCGAGAAAAAATACTCAATGAACATTTAAGTAATTCATCTCATATTGAAGCACTTAAGGCTTATAAGTGTAAAACTCTTAATGCTTCAGAAGTAATGTCTAAAACCCCAATGGGAAAAATTATAAATAATGTAAATGAATCTCTTGGAAAAAAATTGGCAGTCTTTTCATCCATGTATACAATGATGCCAAAAAGTTAACTTTGTCAGCTTATACATTTCCTAGTCATGCAATAGTGTCTCATACGTCCAATATTTATCGCACTAATGGTAAAATATCTCATGATATTATGGCGGGTCGCCGTGTGGTTTGTGTCAGTGACACGAGAACGACGCCACGTGCGACGACACGACCAAGGATGTCGGGTTACCTAATGATAAACGAGTAGACGAATGGTTTTAAAGGCAACAACTGGTTTAATAAGGTTTAAGCATAATATACATAAGACGATGTCGACAACGACAAATGATTCGACACGCGGAAAGACAAAAAATAACAATACATTAATAATAATATAAATCGGCGACGTGCGGAGTCGGCGAGTTCGGTCGTGCGAGAGAGCGAAGGAAGGACGCTGGACTCGGCACGGTGACCGGTCGGCGTCGACTACAGAGGTGTTGCCAACCATCTCAGCCGCGCATATCACTACCGGCGGCAGCTATGTGGTGGTGACCCGCCACAATATTGATGATAATGAACTGCAATATTTAACACCTCATACTTGCTAGGGCCGGCGAAAGCTATGGGCGACCTGGGCGACTGCCCAGGGCGCTAGCACGGAAGGGGCGCCAAACTGAAAATTATTTTTATTTAATTTAACTTTTAAAAGGCATTAACAATCTATACAATTTGAAATATTCATTTTCATTATCTAATGTCGTTTTAGTTGAAGATCAGAAGATGAATCTGCAATTGTCTCATTTTAGTCATATTTTTAAAATATAAGAATGTAACAGTGCATGTGCATCGATACCGCTGGTTTTGATGTAAAAACTAAAAATAATGCATCAATCCATGGAACTATGGAAGCATACCACCGCATTTGTGTATATCAATAAAATATATAGATGGTCGTAATAATTATTTTTATATTATAATATTTACCCATTTATAAATAAATTCATATAACTATTTTTTAATTATAACTAATTCATATAGTCTATTCCAAATGAGACCAGGCTACGGCGGCGACCAGATTTCGTCGGGCGGCGGTCAGGCTCCACCTATTTTACTCCCCACTACATCAACCACCTGTTAGACTGTAGCTCTACCGGCGGCGGCGTACGTTCGACGTGTGTACCGTGCTGCAACATGACGCGTCGACGCTTACATGCTTACCGGTGAATTACGTGACAGTCCGTTTAAACCGATTTTTTTGTAATTATAATTTGTGTTTTACGTATTATATAATGGAAGATAATACAGAAATAATTACGGGTGATATCCCTGAAGTCGAAGGTTGTATGCGTCTGCAGCCTGAAGAAGTAACTACTATTTCTCCAAAAACGAAAAATAAAACTGGAAAAGTAAGTAATAATATTAACAGTTTTTACCCAAATAAAAACACATAACAATTAATATAATATTCAAATATTTAATTATTTGATATTTAAAATGTTATTACCTATTTATTATTATTTATATGTTTTTTACAGTTTGTGTCCAGTCGTCAAAAAATAATTATTGTTAATATTTACAAGGATATCATTTCTAATACACCAGACATAAAATATTTGGATATTATTAAGCGTATTAGAGAGTTAACTGGTTTGGGACGAGACACCGTAAAGAATACTATCAGTCAGTACAAAACCACAAAAACAGTATCTTCTCCCAACAGGAGAAGAGCAAAGGCTTCACTGTTTGACAAAATTGATGATCTGGACCGCACAGGATTACGTCGGACAATCCATTCTATTTGGTTAAAGCGTGAACTACCAACCATAGACCGAATTTTATTTGATGTCAACGCGGATCCGTCGCTTCCAAATTTTAAAAGAACATCTTTGTATCGTGTCATCAAAAAATTGGATTTTGTTTTTACAAAAAGAAAAAGATGCAGTGTTCTGACCGAGAGGGAAGACCTTATCGTTTGGCGTCGTAAGTATTTATACGACATTCGAAAATACAGAGAAGAAGGTCGAACTATATACTATCTGGACGAGACTTGGTTGAACGCCGGCGATTGTGTCGATCGTGTTTGGAAGGACAATACGGTTCTCTCCAAACACGATGCATTTAACAAAGGCCTCACGACCGGTCCACAAAACCCGTCCGGTAAAGGTAAGCGGCTCATTATACTACATATTGGGTCGGAGAATGGTTTTCTGCCAGGTGGCCTGCTGTGTTTCATTTCAAAAAAAAATACCGGCGATTATCATGACGAGATGAATGGAGATAACTTCAAAGAGTGGTTCGAAAACATTCTCCCTGTACTCGACCCAAATTCCATTATCGTCATGGACAATGCGCCGTACCATTCGGTAGAAATGGAAAAATATCCAAATGCCAGTTGGAAAAAAGCAGTTATATTGGAGTGGCTCATTTCCAAGAATGTCGATTGCGAACGACCGTTGTCGTCGTTATTGAAGCCCGAACTTCTGGCGATATCAAGACAAATGCGACCTCAATTCAAATCGTATGTAATCGACAACTTGGCCAAGGACAAAGGACACACCGTACTCCGATTACCACCGTACCATTGTGAATTCAATCCAATTGAATTGGCATGGGCGATGGTAAAAGGATACGTGAAGCAGAACAACACCACTTTCAAAATCGACGATGTTCGCCAACTACTAAATACAGCTATTGAAAGGGTTACTCCTCAAAATTGGAAAAATTTCATAAAACACGTCATTGAAGAAGAGTGCCGAATATGGAAAGCGGACGATATCATGGATGATATGATAGATTCTTTGGAACCTTGTATTATGACGTTAACAGGAGAAACAACCTCATCAGATTCTTCGGAGTAACCAATTTATACTTTTCTATCATGTTTAAATTTTTGTATGATTTTTATTTTTTTTATCATGCTTTATGTTTTTAATCTTTTTTTATTGTAATAAAAATTAAATAATTAAATATAGAAATTTGTTTATACGTACCTACAACATTAGGTAATAAAAATTATAAATTAAGCAAAAGAAAATCGATTTTGTACTGATAGCGTGTACTGACGTACGTATGTGATTATGTGGCGCGCGACTGCGCGAGTGACGGTAAGGAAAAATACATTGCGCCGTACCGCTCCGCACACCATCTGTTTCAGAGTATACAATGCAATTTAAGTTATGTGTTCAGGTCACTGGTTTACGATAGACTAATTTCGTCGCTCCGCGGGGCACAGTTCGAGGTCCGTGCTCGTAGTGAAGCCACGCCTATGCGCACAACTTGGCCGCCTTAGCCTGGTCTCATTTGGAATAGACTATAGACGTCTAGACGATAACGATTCGTTAGAAAAACCGCGACGGTAAAACCCATTCGGACCTTACGGCGAAAATACCACAGTGTAGAGTAAACCAAAAAGACACAATTGTCTGACACACACTAGTACACAACACGTCTACACACACAAAACACAATTATTTATTGTTTTCGATAAGCTCTCGCTCCGTATGGTCTGCTGTCAAGTATTGTAAACTTAAAACTAACAAGTAACTGCCAACAGCCAACAGGTAATCAATATTCATATATTTTGTTTAGTACATTTTTACATAATATTTTGGTTTCTTTTTAAAATAAATTCCGTTCTCTGGTTGTTTTAATAAATAAGTAGTTAGTGAAACACAGTATTCATATATTATAAGCAGTGGTGGCGTGAAATAATATTATATATTTATATTTGATTTGATATATTATGTTAATGAATATACTTTATATATTATGATGATAATATATAAGAATTAATATATGATGCAAAGGTCGATATAACGTGGTGAATAGCATATTCACATATTTATTATTATGAAAATACTTAAACACGTTTTCTCAGTATCTATAAATTTAATATGATATTATAATATTATTTTCGTCTTACAATTCAGACGGCAGCCTATAGGCTATAATATAATACTTTTGGCAATGACTTTGTGGCTATATACTATATATTATAGAGTATGTAATGATTGCTATCGCACAATAATTCGTGCGATCTATTGATTATTTATAATAATACATATTATATTTTAATTATTGAATTAAATTGAAATTATTGAATTTCATATTACACACGATAATTCAAATAAGTCTTCTCTTCTTTTTCATTCTATCATAAAATATTATTTTTTTTTTTAACCTAAATATGCAAATATAAATAAATAAATAATTGTAGGTAAAATAATTGATACCATGCCGCCAAAAAAAGATAAACCTTCAGGAACCCAGTATCGAAAGCGTAGAGCCCAAGCTCAATTAGAATTAGAAAAAAATGCAAAAATGATGAACAAATATTTTAAAAGTAATAGTGGAACCTGTGAAACATCTACTTCGACGTCGGAGGTTAAAAATGAATCAATAAATAATATATACGAAAATATTTCTAAGACTCCTGTTAAACATAATAATGAAGGAACGTTGACCTCTCCTACTTTAACATATTTCCCTTGTGATAATAATAATATTGATAATGACATAAATAGTAGTAATAGTGCATTTGTGAACAAAACAGTTGAGATGAGCGATAAACCGGTAACCGATGTTTCCAAATCCGTTGCATTTATTTCTCAACCTGATTTATTCGACCCATATTTATAGCCAGATAACAGACAGAATAACTTAATAGACATAGTTATTGAGATGGGACCATGTGAAATAAATGATGACATTTTTCCCAAGGATGAAAATAATCGTCATTTTTCTAAAATATACCAAATAAGAAAATTAGACAATAATGAAAAAGTTAAAAGACGATGGCTTGTATATTTTAAAAGCATTGATCGGGTGTTTTGTTTTTGTTGCAAACTTTTTAATAGTTCTCATAGTACACTATCTACAACAGGCAATAATGACTGGAAACATATGACAACAACACTAATTTCTCATGAAAAATCACCTGAGCATTTTACTGCATACAAAAAGTGGCACGAATGTGAATTAAGATTAAAACTTGGTAGATGTATTGATAATGACCTGCAACGAGTAATGAATACAGAAGTTCAATATTGGAAAAGTATTTTAGAAAGGTTAATATCTATAACTTTATACTTATCCAAACACAATCTAGCTTTCCGAGGATCGTCTGATAAACTATTTGAAAGAAATAATGGAAACTATTTGGGGTTAGTAGAACTTTTAGGAAAATATGACAATAATATGAAAGAACATTTAAATCGAATAACTACACAAAAACTCAATCTAACTTATTGCAGTAAGGATATTCAAAATGAACTTATAAATCTAATGGCCTCTAAAGTTTTAGAAATCATTCAGCAAAAAGTACAAGACGCAAAATATTTTTCTATGATATTAGATTGTACTCCTGATGTCAGCCATTCTGAAAAAATGTAATTTACTATAAGATTTGTGGACGAAAATAATGGCAATTTACTAGTAGCTAAGCATTTTATTGGTTTTAGAGAAGTTTGTGAATCTACTGGAGAAAGCCTTACCGATTTATAGCTTAAGACGCTAAAAGAAACCAATCTTGATATAATGAACTGTTGTAGTTACGACAATGGCGCGAATATGAAAGGTCATAAAAAAGGTGTTCAAGCAAGAATTTTAGCTTTAAACCCTAAAGCGGAATTTATGCCCTGTGGTTGTCATTCTCTCAATCTCGTTATATCTGACGCAGCTTCGCAATCCAAAGAATCTATCACTCTTTTTGGAATTGTACAACGGATATTTGTTTTATTTTCGGCTTCTGTTTACCGTTGGCAAGTACAAAATCACATTTACCTAACTTGACGGTTAAGCCATTGTGTACAACCCGTTGGGAGAGTCGCATAGACAGTGTAAAAGCAATTCGATATCAAACAAAAGAGGTATACAATGCATTAATTGAAGTTGCGGAATCATCTAAGGCAGATGCTGGTACAAGAAATGAAGCAAGCAGTTTAGGTAATCAATTACTTGACTTCAATGTATTAATTTCATTAAATGTTTGGTATGATTTATTATTTCAAGTAAATATTGTAAGTAAATCTATGCAAGGATTTACAATGGATATAGAAATGGCGTCTTCATTATTAGATAATTGTGTCAAATATATTAACAAGTATCGAGAAACAGGGTACGCAGATGCGTCAAACTCTTCAAGAGAAATAGCAGAGTCATTAGGTATAGACCCAATCATAAAAGAAGCACGAGTAAGACGTAAAAAAACTTTTTTTGATGAAAACACCGATCAAGATTTTTTGATTAGCGCCGAAGAACGTTTTAAAAGAGAATTTTTCTACACTCTTGTAGATATAGTCAGAGAATCTATAAAAGAAAGATTTACTCAATTTGAAAACCATAAGCAATTATGGGGGTTTCTGTACAATTTAGAAAAATTACCATCTTCTGAACATCTTTTGGCATGCTGTAAAGATTTGTATGGAGCCCTTTCGGAAGGAGATAGTGCTGATATAAATTCCGTAGAGCTTTACAGTGAACTTAAACATCTGAGTTCACTTTTACCAATTGGCAAAGGATCCCCCAAATCAGCGCTCCAGTTTATACACGATATGAAATTAGTTGATGTATTCCCTTACACATGGATATCTCTAAGAATATTGCTGACGATTCCAGTTACTGTAGCGTCCGGTGAAAGAAGTTTTTCTAAACTTGGATTAATAAAAACTTATTTGTGCTCCTCGATGAAAGATGATAGACTTTCTTCGTTAGCAATTTTGTCAATTGAAAATGATTTAGCCCAAAAAGTAAACTATGAAGAAGCAATCAAACAGTTTTCTGAATTAAAAGCTAGAAAAGTTAAGTTTTAATATAAATTATAGTTATAAGTTTAAAACTAATATTATTTTTATTTTTATTTTTTATTTTACGCAATGTAGCAATTTTATAAATTAATAATATAATAAGTGTAACCTTATTACAATGTTGTACGATCAGGTAATAAAGTTTAAAATTATGATACAAAATACATACTAATTTTATTTAACTTAATAAAAAACTTAATTTTATTACTACTCAAACTAGGTGTGAGAGGGGGCGGTAAGGGCGCCAAAACATGGTTTCGCCCAGGGCGCTAATACTTCTTGCGCCGGCCCTGATACTCGCAAAGACCTTTTTAATTGCATTGTTAAATCTTACAGATCTAAATGTATTGAAGAAATTTTGGATAATTCAATTGCTTTATCTCTGCGTTGCGATGGCAGTGTTGATAGAACACAAGTTGATAAAATGTATGTTTTAATTATATCAGTAAATTTAAAAGGTGAAGAAAAGTTGTATTTTTATAGGTGCAACAGAAATAATTAAAAGAGGGGCTGAAGGCATATGTGACGCTATAAAAACTGCTTGCATTAACAGTGTAGGAAATGAAAATTTTGAGGTTATTTTAAGAAAAATATCATCTTTAGTCACTAATAGAGCTAGCTCAAATATTGGTGAAAAAAATGGTTTATGGCCCCTTTTAAAAAAATTGAAACAAAATGCTAGTAAAAATGAAATAGTGTGTCCCTTAATAACGTTATGGTGTGTTGCACATAGGTCAAACTTGGCATGGGAATCAGTAGTAATTCAATAAATAAAGTAAATTTATTATTTCAAAAACTTATTGGGCTTTCATCATTTTTTCGCAAGTCAGGCTTACGGACTAGAGAGTTGAAGATATTGCATCTATGCATAATTTGAAACTACTTCAACTTCCAAAATTTTTTTAAGTTCGGTGGTCTCAATTTACATATTCACTACTTAATAATGTATTGACTTCATGGACTTGCCTTGTAAAATGTTTTCATGATTCAAAAGATAATCTGTATATTGGATATTATCAATTTTTGACAAATGAATCTTGTCTGATGTATTATATATTTTTTCAAGATACCAAAAACAACTTCAATCTGATGACTTACATATCATAAGTATGGAAGAAAAAACTAACAATTTTATAAAAAAAATTGAAACTTTGAAATTGAACCCACTTTTAGGTGGATGGTTGAAACTCTAAATAAGGAGATTAAAGTACAACAAGATGGTACATTTACTTTAAGTAATATTTCTTTGATAACAAAAAAACCACCTCGTGGAAACAAACATCACCAATTTGTAACACATCAAAGAAATATATCTTCTATAAATCAAGAAATATTGTGTTCACTCCAAGAATTTCTCACTCAACGCTTTTCAATTGATCAGAAACTTCTACCCATTGTCAAACCATTTGTTCAATTATTGCCTAATGCAAATTTAAAAGATGTTCACAGTAGTTGGTGAAGATTTAAGTCTACGGGATTTATCACTAGAGTATGATGAACTATTGAATATAAGTAATATTTATGAACTTCGAAAAATGCATTTAAATCAAATAGTCTCAAAATTGTCTTCATCAACAATACACTTTAAAAATATAACTATTTTATTGGCTAGAATATTAGCAGCTAAACTACACAGTGCTGATTTAGAGCGTTTTATTAGTGCAAATAATTTATTAAAATCTCCAATGCGTTCAAGAATGTCGTTAGAAACAGAAAATATGTATTTATTTATTAATTATAATATACCACCATTATATGATTGGAATCCAAAAGAAGCTGTACATATTTGGTTAACAAAAAAAAAAAAAAAACACAGAGTTATTATGAAAATAAAGAGGAAAAAACAAATTATTTTAATGGACTATTTAAGGAAGCAGATGATAAACATATCTATGATAATTTTGGTTCAGATAATGATCATGATGATATTAAAAATAAAAAAATAAAATTGTCATTTGAAGCATAGGTAGTTGATTATTTTATTTTTTATTTTTAACATCTATAATCTATTATAATATATTATAAGATATTTGATATTAATAAATATGTTTTGTTAATTTTCATTTTGTTTTTCATTAATATTAGTTTCCTAGTTAAGAATGTTTAAATATATTTCATTGATTTTAACATTTTTGAATTTTGTTTGAAATATAAAAATATTTATAGGTACATATTTTGTTCCAGAGCTAGATTACATTGTAGTGTAAGGTATATTTAACTTAACTAGGTATATTTATCTTTATATTCATGTTGTAAAAAATTTAAGCATGGTATTCTCTCATTCCAAAATGTGTATACAAACCAAGTTCAGGTACCTACCTACTTGTGCAGTTCTAAAATATTCTTAGCGCAAACCCTGGTCTAGCGCAAGAACTCTACGGCCTGGATTTCCATTGACCGTCTCAAACCAGCATTTGTCGTGCGCAAAGACCCGATCGCCGACCATTCATATGCACGCAGCTTCGTCTGAAAACAACGCGCGGTCGTTTTCGCGCTAGCGAGCGGGAGTAATGTGGCGATACCGTAGTATCACCACTACTACCATGGGCGCCCGCAGGAAATTTATCAGGGAGGGGCATAATGAAATCACACTAAAAAATATAGGTATTAAAAAAAAGTTTATTCCTTGTAAAATGTAAAATATAAAACAAAATTTATTCGTTATTAAATAAAAACTGAAGTCTTCGTGGTTGTTCTATTGCAAACCTTATTATCAATTGTTCAATGAATTTTTCTTTTCTTATATTAATTCTTTCACGATGAACACTTAACATACATAGACCATTTAATCGTTCTTCACACGTCGTAGACCGAAGCCACTTTTAACTCTTCGTAAAGTGCTACACTGAAAAAAAAACTACCTGTAATTATGACAATATTGTCTTATTAAACTTAAATATGTCACCATAACAATGTATGTTTGTTTAAACAATATATTAGTTAATTTAACAATTCAAAATGACGAAAAATTGATAATATTTTATTAAAATAACACTGTAAAAATTGTCAAAATAATGCATTCGTTTACATTATATATTCGTATATATATTATATAACCTAACCTAATTTTAGCAATTCAAAGCTATTTATAACCGGGATTTTCCAAAATGTAATTATAATTATCATCGTAACAAGAGTATTGTCATTTAATCCTTTTAATATTATCAAATATAATAAAATGTTCTTTATTTGCTACTGTTTATACAATTTGTACTGTTTAGTCGTTTAGTGTTTACTGATGTTTGATTTTGAAGTACCTAAGCAATAACGTTACCGGTACCTATACTTACGTACTTATTGTGATACTTGTGATTAAAAAAAAAAAGTGTGATTTGTGTTTTAAATAAAGTGTGAAGATTTTGTGTCCTGCAGTTACACACATACTGTGCAAGAATTTTAAATCTACAGTTATTATTACAATTTGTAAGTAACATTAATTATTTTTTTTAATTAAAAATTTGTGTACATAATATGTATATTAACATAATATGTATGTATTTAGGTATTTATTATTGGTAAAGACAGTTAAAAACTAATATTGCATTCTACATCAGGTAAATATAATTTATATTTTATATATTTATATAACAATACACTTGATGTAAATAATTAAGTATTAAATCATCTAATTAACAGTGCCGCGTTAAGCTATGTTGCCGCCCCCGGGGCAAATTAAAATATGCTGCCCTTACAAAAATGACAATTCAAAATTATATTCAACACACTATTAATTACAGTCAGTAGCGTATTAACGAGTAGGATACAAGTGTACTATGCAAAAACAATAAATTTACAAAATACTTATATCTTTATTATGTCTATTTTAAATAGCACATTTTTACTTATATTTAAATTTTATAATTATTAATTATATCTCACATATAAATTTTAAAAAATTACCAAATGTGACAAAATATTATCATTCATTACTTTTTTTACTATTTTTCTTTTATATTAATTTTTTCCTCGATTTTGTTTGAGAAAAAAACGTACAGAATAATGAAAATAGTTTACACGATAACAGTACAATTATTAGAACAAGTTCTTAATTCTTATCGCCTTGTGACATGCAGCGGTAGACGGCGGCTTTTTCGTGGTATTTATAAACGAAATAATATGTACTTATTATAGTTATACAGTCACTCAAAAAAAATTATAATTATAAATTTTTCATTTTATGTTGATCCTCCAAAATTTGCCGCCCCGTCAAACATCATAAAATTTGCCGCCTTGGGGCAATTGCCCCCCCCTTGCCCCCCTTAAACGTGGCTCTGCTAATTAGTAAATTTTAATGTTATATTATAATAGTTGCTAATTAATTTCTAGGTTATTAAAACGAGTGTTCTTTGGAGATTCTGCTGTTTTATACATTATTAGTTATTATTTTGTGAGTTGATATTACATTTAGTCAACAGTTTTAATTTGTTAGCTTATAATGCTTATATTATATTGATAACCATAAGGTATCCTATCTATTAGTTTTAAAATGATTTGTTATATTTGTGGATTGGACATGGAAAATTGGAAAGCATTAGTATGTCATTTTAAAATATTTCATTCGTTAAAAAGTTATAGTACCTATACATGTGGTGAAGGTAACTGTAAACAATCTTTTCAGTGCTTAGCTACATTTAAAAGACATATACATGTTAAGCATTTCCCAGAACTACAATTAAGTTCTAAAATTCCTGAACAGTCTTGTACCAATTCTTCACTACCACCTCTTAATAATTCTGAAAATGTTCATAGAAATAATTCTTTAAATGAAAATATAAATGCTGAAATTCCATTTAATTTTGAACTAGTTAGTGAATTATTATACAAATCAGCAGTAGAACTGGTTGTTAATTTACATAGTAATAATAATTTTGCTAGAGTAGACATCATAAATATTCAAGCTGGTATAGTAGAAACAATTTTAACACCTATTGTGTCCATGTTAAAAAAAGTTGTAGAAGATGAAATAAAAGAGCCTACTTTACTTTCTAAATTTCACAGAGTTACTTCAGTCATAGAAAATACTTTTCTTTATTGTAGTACTGAATATCGTTTATTAGATTGGCTTATTAATAATGAATTTTTGTCCAAAATAAATCAGTTTACTATAAACAATGAAATTTGTCCAGTTCAACATATTGGTGAAACTATATTTGATGAGAAAAATACAACAGGCGCTTTATTACCATTAAAATTTCAATTTAAAAAATATTTTGAACAAGGTGACAATTTTAAAAAACAGTTGACTCGATTAAATTTATATAAAACCAATGAATGTACAACTATAGACAATTTTGTTCAAGGAACTCTTTGGAAACAAAAGGTCTCTCAGTATAGTAATGATAAAATTATAATTCCGTTTTTTTTGTACATGGATGAATTTGAAATCAATAATCCATTAGGATCTCATTCAAAATTTCAATCCATTTCAGCTGTATATTATAGCTTTCCATTAGCAGAAAATAATTCTAAATTAACAAATATCTTTTTAGCTGCACTAGTAAAACACGTGGATCTTACATCTTTTGGTAATGACAAATGTTTAGAAAGCTTAGTTAATGAAATAAATATACTTGAAAATGAAGGTATTAACATTTCAACTGAAGATGGACATTTCCATGTACATTTTGTATTGGGAATAATTCTAGGAGATAATTTAGGCTTAAATAGTTTATTAGAGTTCAGTAAATCTTTTTCTGCAAATTTCTTCTGCCGCTTTTGCAAAGCTCATAAATCAGTAACTAAATTAATGCATGAAGAAGATTTAACTTGTATGCGTAATGTTCACAACTATTCTGTAGATGTCGCTAGCTTAAATTTTTTAGAAACTGGAATTTATAGAGAGTCGTTGTTAAATCAAGTAACTCATTTTCATGTTACTCAAAATTTTTGTATAGATATCATGCATGACTTATTTGAAGGGATTTGTCATTATGATATATGTCATATATTAATCTACTTTATTGATACAGCAAAATTATTTTCATTAGAAACTCTTAATAGCCGAAAAATGAATTTTAATTATGGGCCAATAGAAGTAGGTAATATTTCACCTCCTATTAAAATTGTTCATTTAAAAAAAAGACATTTGAAAATGTCAGCTAGAGAAGTTATGACTTTTGTTCATTTTCTTCCTCTAATGATAGGAGACTTAATACCAGAGAATGATGAGGTTTGGGCACTTTTCCTAATATTGCTTCAAATTATAGACATTCTTTTATCATACACATTTACTGATAATGCAATTTCTCATCTTCGACAATTAATTTCACAACATAACTCTATGTATGTAACACTTTTTAATGATACCCTAAAACCTAAATATCACATTTTAGTTCACTATCCTACAATAATTAAAAATTCAGGTCCTCCTAGGCATTACTGGTGTTTTCGCTATGAGGCCAAACACAAGGAATTAAAAATGTATGCTAGAGTAACAACTTCCAGAAAAAATGTAACTTTGACGTTGGCTAAAAAATTTCAGTTTAAATTTGCTCAAAATTTAATGGAATCAGAAAAATATATTATTTTTAAAGATAAACATAGAGTTATAAGTAAATATACTGAAATTATTAACACTATTCTTAATCTAACTTTATCACAGTATACTTGTTATACTGAGTTCAAATTTAATGGCATATTATACAAAGAAGGATATTATCTAACCAAAAATTATAATGAATTACATTTATTTAAAATTTATGAAATTATATTTATTAATCAACCAGAAATTATGGTTTATATTTTGGCTAAAGAAATAAAATTGAACGAATTTAGTTCACATTATGAATCTTTTTATGTGAGTGGTAGTGAAGAAGTTATTAATGATTGTTTTATATGTGGTGTCAATGAATTTGATGGACCTCCCATAAATGTCACAACTATTCCATCTGGTAAAAAAATGATACGTTTAAAACAATTTTATTAATTTTATAAGCTTTAATATATATATATTTACTATAAAGCATTTTTTTTATTATTTTAATTTTATCATTACAATTTTTTAGTATCTAAATGTATATATTTATTTTTTATTGTTAATGTATTAATCATGTACTTATCATACCCATTTGAAAACATAATAAATATTTTATTTGTACATTTTTGGTTTTAATTGCAGATTTGTATAGCAATTTTTTTTTATAATACTTGTTACAATAAATTTAATTTATATTAAGATGGATAATTATACTCCTAATGGATCGTATATTTTAAATATTGGAGAATCTTCTAGTTCTGTAAGTAGTAATAAATTAAAGTTTGCAAGACTTTAATATAAATTATAACTAGAATTCATTGTTTACTATTTTAATAAAATGCTTAGGAGTCTCTTGGACTACATAATCCTTTTAATGAAGAATTATTTATTAGTCCAGTTATTGAAAATACTCCCAGTGTTGTAGCAGATTACAACTACCCAGTTGAAGATTTGACGGAATTGCAAGCATTATTAAATTCATGGGGATTGAAATGTGTTTATCAAACATGTGTTGGTAGGAAAATTGCTATAAACTATAGTGCACCTATGACTTATAATAATTAATAATTATTATAATATTATTAATATAATAATGTACTATTATATTAGTTTAAATTCTTGATAACTGTTTCTTATTTTTATATAAACACATTATTACCTTACCAAATGATTTACAGTTTATTCTATGTTGTTTATTTATGTAGATCAACTTATAGATATGACAATTCTTTCTTACATGAAAATTGAGCATGTTCATAAACTTTTGTTCAAATTCCCACTTGGAATAATATTTAAGTTTGAAGCAGAATTAGAGAAATGGCAAAAGACAAAAAATACTCTAAAAAGTTGTCAAAATACAAACACCACTAACTCAATTAATATTTCTATAAACAAATCTAACACAGAAACTCTTACAAAACCACAAAAGTCAAGTCATAATTTAAGAGTTGATGAAGTGCTTTCTATGTCTACTCAAGGTTCCCTGATACTTGACTATTTTAAAACACACAAGAAATTGAATGATGGTATACGGGCAACATTGATAGACATACTTATTGGACAAGTACTATCACAACAAATACCTATGTCTGTAAGTATGGCAGAATCTCTAGCAGACCAAATTGTTGCTATGTTTAAATCAGAAGTTAAGGTAATTTGATTGGTTTGGTCTAGTATAATTATAAGAGTGTAAGACTAATAATTATGAAACCTACAGGATACATATTTCATGAAAATCGGTTGTAATAAAAATCCCAAAGGAAAACTGTATGCCAAGTATTATAATTTTGTAAGAAACATGAAAAATACAGGATTAATACCCACACCAATCACCAAAAATAAAACAATGAACGAGAAAAAACAGAAAAATGGCTGGTTCGAAAAAAAATTTGGTATAACTTTAATATGTACTATTTATCTATTAATACTTACTTTTTTATAATGATTTTAATTATTTACAGTATCTGAAAGTGGAATAGATTCTATACTTGATGTTTTGAAATACAATGATACTTCATTTCCAGAGTTAGAATCAAATTGGAGAGCTACTGTATTTTATCGATTAAATGATATTAAGAATTCTCATTCAACAACAGAAATCTTAAATAAATGGAAACAATATAAAGTTCCTTATGGCCATAAATTAGTAAGGAATTTAAAACATATTGTGTTATTAATTCCCATTATTCATAAAACAGTTTTTTAGATTGATATTGATTACAATATTCTATTTCCTACTGGTATTAACATATATCAAGACTTTGAGGAAAAATCAGATAAAATATTTAAATTATTAAATGAAAAAATCAAAGATTTAAACTGTCGAAAAATATTGGATACCTTAAAAAATACAAATGAAATTAATATTAATGATAGTAAGATATATAATCAAATTTATAATAACAATAATGCATTTTTACTCATAAAAAATTATTTATAGATGTTAAAAATGGTGTATTGATATATTTGCTACATGCTCTATTTGCTCCCACTTCAAAAAAAGTTACCAGAGACGAACAGGGAAAAAAGAATCTGATTAAATATTCCATTAAAGATTCACAAGACAGCTTCATAGTATTTGGTGAATCTGTAGATATAATGCAACAACATTTAGAGCAACTTAAAAGTCGTGGGGACCCCATCCAACCTTTTACTTTAATTGTAGGGACTATTTTTTCTCATAAAGAAATATTAGTGTATTTTGACTCAATCATGTATAAAGTGCATTCTATACTAAGATCCATTGAAGTATGTTATAAAATTTTCCACTTGTTCAATTTGGAATATCCATGTCAATCATCTATTGTATGGTTATTCGTTCAAAATTACTTTTTTGGCTTAACATCTTCTTATGATAAACCTCATCCAAAATTAGTTCAAATCTTATCTGATTTAAAAAATGATTAATTTTTTTTATATAAATCAACTTTTCATCAATATGTGTTTTTTTCTATGATTTTTATGATTATTTATTATTTATACTAAAAAGGAATCAGATTTTAGATATCTCATTAATATCTAAAATATTATATTAATTAAGTGATTATGATTTATAAATAGATTTTTTTTTGTATTATTATTATAATATAATTATATTCATATTTATATACTTATGATTAAGTATAGAATTAATTACTTTTTTTTCTAGACTAATAAGTTATCACACAAATTAGATTTTATTAAATATCTTTATGTACATGAAATAATTAATAAGTAACTAAAGTTTTGAATTTGTTGATTTATTTTATGTAATAACTCATAATAAAATTGAAATACTTAAAAATATATATATATTATGGTAACCTTTATTATTTAACCTAACTCAACT